AAAAAAATAAAAAAAAGGGGCCATAGGCATTTTGGTTGAAACAGACGGGTCCTAGGAAAATCAGATTTCTCTACTTTTATCAAACGAAAAGATAAAATATGAAAATAAGTGATTTTGGCACTGAAAACGCAATGCCAAACAAGCATTTAGTAATTTGATAATAGTTTAATTTAATCACATTCATTCCCAATAAAACTACCCACCACATAGGGCTCGTCAATGGGCCGGGCCGGGCTAGCCCGGCCCAAATTTAATGGGCTTGGGCCGGGCCGGGCCGAGCTTTAAAGAGGAGAGAGAAAATATCGGGCCGGGCCGGGCCGGGTTTTTTTAGAAAATTCAAAGCCCAAGCCCGACCCATAGGTCGGGCTTGAGAAAGCCCATTGGGCCGGGCTGGGCTAAGGCCAACGGGCCGGGCCGAAACGGGCCTACTTCATTCGAAAAAAATCATAAACTTAATCATAAGGGCATTTTAGTCTAAATTTGACATTAAACTCACTTAATTCTAATATTTTCACATCAAACCAAATTCATAAAATACCAAATAAAGTCACACAACTTAATAAGATTTTCCACAAAAATAATAAAACAAAGTATTATTTTGAGGTTTTTACATAATTAGACCATAATACGTTTTAAGAAATAATTTTAAAAAATAGTAAGTATCAACAAGATTTTTTTTATAAAGGATGGTATAAATAAATATGTAAATGTTTGGTGATGTGTTCAAGAAAAACATGATTATATTTGGTGGTACGATTATGTTTCGTGATATGATTATATTTAGTGATATGATATATTGTTCATCTTATATATATATATATATGTATATGTATAATTGTTGTATTAATAATTGACACAAATTAATGTGCTAATCATCCAATTATAAACTAGGAATGAGTAAAGAAAAGTAAATGAAATGAAACAAATTATATATGTGATTTAAGTGATATAATCCTAATCCTAAACTCTTATTTATACATAATTATATATGTATGCGGGCCTAACGGGCTGGGCTTTTGTGGGCGGGCCGGGCTGGGCTTTCTTGGGCCTAATCGGGCCGGGCCTATGGGCCGGGCCGGGCTTTAGACACCCAAGCCCAAGCCTAGCCCGGCCCAAGGCGGGCCGGGCCATCTCAAAGCCCATAACGGGCCGGGCCGGGCTTTTTTCCAATGGGCCGGGCGGGCCCCCATCGGCCCATGAGCCCGCGGGCCAAATGATGAGGCCTACCACCACATGAATAAAAGAGGAAATTCCACCTTAAACTACATAAGAAAGTCTTGAATTCAAATTTCATCTCATGTAAGACTTCGGCCCATTTCAGCATTGTCCTTCCCTTGTATATTACCAAATGATCCTTCGGAAAAATCCCACTGTCAGCGGCATCTGGCTCTAACAAAGGGATTACTTATTTCTCAAGTTTATTTTCTTTAATTTTCTTAATTGGAAAGTTGGTTTTATATTTTGAATTCTATTAATGCACAGCCGAGCTGAAGCACACAAAGATGAGAAATTTTTATATGTTCCGGGTACACCGCGTGGCTGGTGTATCATCCAATAAACATAGGACATGTGGAATTATTGTCTAACTAATTGCATTTCTTTTTATAACATGTGGCAGACTGCATTGCAAATGTTCCATATGTCTTCCGTCTATTGGCAAAGATCATGTGTGTCTCTTTCTTTTCAAAAAAATTTGTTGGCAATTGTTGTATGGCATGGGTTTGTTAGTAAGCTTTTCTTGCATGGGCTTATCTGCTCCTCTTTGTTTGTCATTGGTTTGGTAGGGTCGCACTTGGTGCATGTTTATGCAATTCAGTTTCTTTTTTATGTCAATTTTATGCAATTACCGGTTGACATTGTGACTGCGTACATATATAAAAACCCCCTTCGCTAAAACTGAGTAGTGCGTCTTTATAAATCTTCCCCCTTCTCTCTGTTTGATACCCATGAACCCCATGCTTAGTAATTTGAACTCTTTACTTGTCATGTACTTCGCTGTTGCTTATTCCTATTAATCCACCCTCCACCCTCCACCCTCTGTCTTCACCCTGTATCTCTCTTTTCTTAAACGTTACCATTCATTCTTCTTTGTACAAAAGAGGTACGACCTTTCAAATATTATGGATAGGACAAACATTACAGCCGTACCAAAACAGCCTACCTCATGTGTTTTGGTGCGGCCGTAATGTTTGTCCTATCAATAATCTTTGGAAGGTCCTGCCTCTTATTTTTTTTGAACTTCCAGTCTTAAACAATTGTCTGATCTATTATAGCAGGGAGATGCTTTAGTATAATTGTCTGATCATAATTATTTTCAATTTACAAGGACTGCACACAAAACTAACATAGATGGTACTCTTGAAAGGCTTTTTCTGCGGGCTATTTGGGTACCATCCATGTTAGTTTTGTTGTACACTCCTTGTAAGTGCAACCCATCATAGATATAATGACGGCTTGTTCAGTAGAACAGTATTTCAAAGAAGAGAGAAAATTGAGCTTGTTAGGCAGCTGTCGAAGCTTTTGATGTGGATAGACCTCTATGGGAGCTTTGTATATGTTCAAATTGGTCTTGGATAAACTTTCCTTGCTTATATAAAAAGGTACACACAGGAAAAAAAACTACCCAACCTTCAGCGCCGCATCTTGGGGGGAGTTTCCCCTCCCCTCCTCTTCCTCCTTTTCGTTCTCCTTCCCCCCTCTTCTCTCCTCTTCCTTTCCCTCTGTTAATCTCTCCTTGTATTTGGTTTTGCCCCCGCTTTCTTTTACTGTATCCTCCTCATCCTCTGTGGTGATTTTGCTTGGGATTTATGCTCATTTCTAGAGGTTCTTCGTCTCTCTAGCACAGACCTCCGCTCCTCGTGTTCACGGATGCCTCCTCCGCCATTTTTACTTGGCGGCGAGTTCGGGTATGAGGATTGGTGTCTTCAAAAGCATGCCTAAGTGCGTGTTGGAGCTAGGAGGAGGGAAATCGCCTTAGGCGTACGAATGTTTAGCTTATTGCATGCTTAGCGTGGTGAGGCGTGGAAGGCGCGAAGAAGGGCCGCTGTCTGCGAGCCAAAGTGCGAGGAAGAAGATGACCTCGCTTGAATTTGTATATCCCTAATGCCATACCTTGAAACAAACGATACTTCCCTTTAAAAAAAAATTCTAAATAAATACATTAATGGACCTATATGTATATCCCTAATGCCATAATCTGCATAATTTTAATTCTCTCCATAAGTTTTAATTCTCTCCTTCGGTATGCAATTCTCTTTGTACTAGATTCATATATATATATATATATATATATATATATAAAATATATATATGTATATAATATGTTAGAATTTTATTTTTTTCCAAACAACACAATATCCATAAAATCCACTAAAAATAACACTCAAGTCCACACATAAATGCCAAATATCATAGCATTTGATGTTTCGTGATGAGGAATGGGATGCATGAATTGAGTTTTTCTTTTGATGTTGAATAAGTATTTTATATTTTGGGATTGATTATTATGCATAAATGACAATTAGTACTTATATTTGATAGAATATTTTGGCTCAATAATAAGAATTAGTAGTACAATTTATCTATATTGTATTATTTATAATTTTTTTTATTAAATTAAATTAATGTTCAAAAGGCTTATGAGGGCATGGCGGACTAAAAATACCTTGTCTCTACACCTCACCTTTTAAAACATTGATAAGGATGCCTTTAAAGTGCAATATGCACATTTGACTTGGATTATGGGAGTGCATTTTGCGGGGTTGGCTTGTTCACCCCCATCTTCCGTTCGTACTTTTGGTTCTCTATGTTACCAGAGACTCCCTCTTGGTGGGTGTGGACTTGCAAGGGTGGTTTGGCTGCTTTGCTTTGGATGGTGCGGCTGCAACTTGTTTTCAATTTTGGGATTGTTTTGGTTTGAAACTTTGTATGTGGGCCTTGCTTGTTTTAAAATTCTGTTTTGTAATCTTTTCGGCCTATGTCTTATGCTTCTACCTATGTTATTCTGCCTTAAAACTCTTGTAATGTGTTTGCATATGTAATGAAGGGAGTTTGCCTTGACCAAAAAAAAAAGGGTCTTGGATATATTGGAATGGTGTTGAATTTGAAAATGATCAATTTTGAGTCTCTTGTCTTTCTACATGTCAGTTGAAATATTTGCAGTTAGCAAGGAGGTTTTCTTTGGGATATTTAATAGGCTAGTGTTGAAAAATCATCATTTTCTCCTTTTTTTTTGTAAATTGTCATTCAAATGGTAATTGACATAAACTTAGGGATTTGTTTGTTAGTTTTTTTTTCGCATTAAAATAGAAAAAAGTCATCTTTGTAAGTTTTTACACTCACCTATGCTTCTTATGTGTTTTCGATCAAAAATTCTTCTTATGTGTTTATCTCCTAATATTTTAATGCAACTAATTTTTATTTTAACATTTGATTTATTGGTTTCTTGATTTTTAAATTTTTTGAATAATAATGTACCTATTTCGTGATTTATTGAAAACAACATATCATTTTTTTTTCTTTTTTATGAATGATAATATACCTATTAATTTTCTAATATACCTATTATTTTTATGGATAATAATATACCTATTATCTTTTATGAATAATAATTTATCTATTATTTTTTGTGATATTTAATGCTAATTTCCAGATACTTGACCAAACTGTAGATGAGTCTTTATTGTGCTTATCAATATTGTGTTATGGTGTTGTGTGATTCATTACTCACAAAACATTTAGTAGCTTTTTTTAGTAGTTGGTATATTAGTAGTATTGAATTGATCCAAGTACTGGAGTTGTAGTGAAATTAGTAAGTATATTAGTAGTATGTAAATTGTATAGGTAAATAATTTTAAAGTTTCCGTGCTATAGTTAAATAATTATTTATAAAATCTCACCCATAGAAAAAGAACGCGCTTTGAAGTTTTTGTCCGTTGCATCACTAGTTTTGTATGTGCTAAGGGTTGTGACTGCAGCGGTTGTCGACGACGGTTGTTGTGATGCCAGAGTTTGTTTCGTCGACAGCCGCTGTGATGCCAGAGTTTGTTTTCTCTGCTGGGGTGGGTGGTTCCCTAAAAGATGGCCTTATTGCTAGTGAGAAAAGAGCTCGTACCCAGGAGATGTTGAATGTTGGCGGACTGGAATCGGACGAGCCGTCTCCCCCTCTTCCTCCAATCCCGATGAGTTTTAAGGATAAAGTTTCTGGGATTTTGAATGTTGGCGGACTGGAATCGGACGAGCCGTCTCCCCCTCTTCCTCCAATCCCGATGAGTTTTAAGGATAAAGTTTCTGGGATTTTGGTATGGTGGAGGATCAAATGGTGTTTAGCGATGATGATGTTGTAATTAAGCAAGGGGCAATTCCCTCAATCCAATTCTCAGACAAAGTAAAGAGCTCTATGTATCAGCCTTGGCGTTCTACTGTAATTATTAAGCTCATGGGTCGTCCTCTGGCTTACACCTTTCTCAGATCTCGTCTTCTTCAGAGATGGGCACTTAAGGGTCCGATGAGCTTAATTGATCTAGAGAATAACTATTTCATTGTGAAGTTCCTTTATGAGGAAGATATGAGATACGTGCTCACTGGTGGTCCTTGGCAAATTACTGGCCAATACATTGTGACACATAAATGGAAGCCTGGGTTTAATGCGAAGGAGGAGAAGATCACCCATATGACTGCTTGGGTTCGAATTAATGGGCTAAACGTTGAATATTTTCATGTTGATGTTATGGAAAAAATTGGAAATCTTGTTGGTGCTACGGTCAAGGTGGATGCTCATACTCTCAGTCAAGCTTGTGGTAAGTTTGCTCGAATTTGTGTAGAACTTGATTTGGCTAAGCCTCTTACCCCATTCATTGAGATTGAAGGTTGTACTTATAGGGTTGTGTATGAGGGAATTAATTTGGTTTGCTTTGAATGTGGGTGTTATGGGCATGCTAGAGATACTTGCCCTATTATTTTGCAAGTCAAACAGCAGGTTCCAGAGTTAGATAATGCTGATTGTATGGAGGATATTTCTAATGTCTAGGTTGATGTGAATTTAGATACTGCTATAATGGAGGCTGAGGTTCTAGCAAAGATGCACGAGGAATGGATGTTGTTGAAGCCCAGGAATTTTAGGAATAAGAGCATGAATGATATAGGGAAGGGTGCTGAGCTTAGCAAGAGGAATACAAATGATGCTGGTACTAAAGCTGTTAGTCATGTCTTTGGTTCTCGTTTCAATGTGTTGACTGAGGAGGTTGGCAGAGAAGAGGATATGGAGGGATTTACTCCTATTAAGAATAGTGGTTCTATTTCCAAAAGATAGGGTTCTTCTGCTAATACTTATTCTGCTAAAACAAAAAGTGATGGGGTGAAATCTTCTTCCTCTCGTGACTTTGGCACTTGGGTGTTTAAAAAACCTCTTAAGGACATTACCAATTCCATGGTAGCTACATCTGGTGGTGGTGGTGTTAAAAGTGGTTATGTTTTAAGAAGGCCTTGGAAGAACAAAGTTGGGGCTAAACCTTTCTCTTGTCATGATATTGAACTTGTGGGGCTGAAAGTCAAAGGCTCTGATGTTCAAGATGATGTTCGGGGGAAGTTTTCTTTTAATTTGGGTGGCTATCTTTTTCCAAAGTTGCCTTTGGGTAAGGGAGGCTTATTGTTTGGTCATGAACCTCCTGATATCAGTGAGATGGGAATTAATGTGGTTGAGCTTTCTTATGTGAGTGATATGGATCATCAGGGTAATTTCCCTGAACATTGTGAGTCTGATACTGGTCTGGAAGCTGATAGCTCTTTTGAGCATGATGGTTTTGAAGCTGTTGAGGTTGAGCATGTGCAGATTTAGGTTTGTGCCTAATATTATCCTTCATTATTATCATTTTATGATGAATATTATTGCTTGAAATGTTAGAGATGCTGGTAAAGATAGGTGTGCTAGTACTATTAAGGATCTACAAAAGGCTTATGCCATTGATGTGTTTGCTATTCTCGAGCCTCGAATAAGTGGCCCTAGGGCTCTCAGTGTTGCCTAGAGTTTGGGTTTTTCCATTTCCATATTGTTGATACTTCTTGGTTTCTCTTCAAGTTGTTGCACACTCTAGCCAATCTATCTGTGAGAGTCTTTATTCTTAAAATGTTAATATTTTCTGGTAAGTATTTAATGATAGTAATTATATATGTTTTATTTTGGAATCTATGATATTAATGATAACTAAGTGTTTTATTATTATTTATTTGATATGTACATAATTCATTTGATATATGCATGCCTATCTTCCTCCAAATTTATTGTGTGGTGTTAAAGCTTTCTATTAGTTATCATGTTTTGCTGTCAAAGCATGTGGTGCCTTCATATTATATTATTAAGTTAAGTGTGAATAGCAAGAAAGTTGGTATAGCTTTACAAATTTGGTTACGTCATGTAAGCAGGAGGTGGAACTTTAAGTTTTCCTCTTATTGACACATCTTCCAACATGCAATTGTTTAATAAAGTTTTTGATAAATATTTCAACTTTGGCTTGAACAAAAAGGTTGTTATATTGTTATCCTTTAGTAAACCGCCAATTACTTCATCCAATAGAAGTAAAGGTGTAGCGACATTCCTCTAGTATAAATAGGAATGCAATTCTTTCATTTTAAAACACACGGCATGCATGGTTTGCATGGGAAAACCATAAGAGTTAAGAAAGAGAAATACTAGAGAAAGAGAGAATTTGAGTGTGGATACAGTGGAAATTAGGGAGTCGTCTTACAATTCTAGCAAAAGCTGTGGTGTCAAGGTAGGGGTTTCTTGGGGGGCCTTTTATAGAGATTGATTTAATTAAATTTAGTGAGCATCATATTATGCATGGTACTGTTTGATTTACGTTCCTTGTATTGGGTGTTTACGTACTCTTAACTGCTTGAACAATGTGGGCATGATTATATGTACATTTGTGATATTTAAATGAATACATTGTTTTTATGAGATATGTGAACAGAAGAACTATATAATGTCATGGAAATTATTTGGAGTTCTTGGGTTGAGAAAATAATGGTGGAAAAGAGGGTAATGAGAATAGTCTTTTGTGTAGTTGAGTCTAACTCTTGGCAGGTACTAGGTCTCAAGGATCCCACAGTGCACATGATTTTTATTGGGTGATTCGGGACTGGCGAAAGGGAGTTAGACAAGATGGCTAACAAAAAGGGAATTATGAGATGATTGAAATGGGTGCTAGTTCATATAAATGGGAATTCGGGACCAAGTGGTATAAGCATGGTATGGGACGTGCTAGTCTACTTGTCCAGTTATATGAATTAACGGGATTAGATGAAGAAAATTCATGCATTGTTAGTAATAATGTGAAATTTGGCTGCTTGATTATTTGTCACTTAATTTAATTATATCAATTTATCGTGAAAAGGTTTATGTCCCTACTGAACTGTGGTTTCGCTCACCCCCTAATAGATTTTGTAGGTACCGAACCTGAATTCTAGAGCTTGTGATGATTTTGGCTTGTGTATAGAATGTATTATAGCTTGTGGATGAACAATGAGCTACTCTTTTAGTGAACTCTCGAGTAGTTCTAACTTGTAAAATAATGTAAAATTTTTAAGGTTTCAGATTTTGTCGTTTCCGCGTTTCAGCTGAATATTCTATGTGAAATATTTATTTTATTTATTTAAATGTTTTCTTCACATTTTAGTTATAGGTTTTAGTAAATTCTATAACTAAGGTGAGAATCACGTCTTAACCTAGGGTTTTTGTAAATCCGAGGGTTGGGGCGTGACACTATCACTACTTTAGTAACCTTGAGGAATCATAGGTGGCTCCTCACTGCTGTTTTTGCAAACCTTTGCCTTGGGATTTGAGAAGCTTTGTGGAAGTACTTTGATGGTCTTATTGAAGCTTCCAATCTGCCTTGGCTTGTTCTAGGTGATTTTAATGATTTTGTGAGTATGGATGAGAAATGTTAGGGTAATTGAGATCAAGGTGGTAAAAGGTTTGTTGAGTGGATTAAGGATAAAGCTTGGAAATCTATTTAGATTTGTCAACACTACTACATTTTTCACTTTGCGCGACGAAGAGAATTTCGTCGCGCAAAATACATTATAGTCGCACAAATTTTAGTGCGACAGAAACTTCGTCGCGCAGATTCCGTCACGCAAAGATCGTGGATAAAGACTTTGCGCGACGAAATTTTTTCATTCGTCGCGCAAAGAGATTTTGCGCGACGAAAAAATATTGGTCGCTCAAAGTGACTTTGCGCGACGAAACATATTGGTCGCGCAAAGCGACTTTGCGCGACAAAAAAATATTTGTCCCGCAAAGCGACTTTGCGCGACGAAAAATATTGGTTGCGCAAAACTTTGCGCGACGAAAAAATTTTAAAATTTTTTTTAAAAAAAATTCCCTCGTCCCATTTTTGGTACCCGCCCAAATTTTTAGAGTTTTGCGCGACAAATATTAATGTCACGCAAATATTTGCGCGACGAAATATTTTGGTTTTTGACTTTTTGTTTTATTATTTCTTTAATATTAATTTAATTATATTAATTATTTCGAATTTTTAATTTTTAAATTAAATTAAATTGTATGATTTTTTTCGTTACTTTAATTTAAATTGATATTAATTTAATTATATTAATTTATTCAAATGTTTACTTTTTAAATTTAATTTAATTACTTTAATTTAAATTGACATATTCAAAATAAAATTACATATGAAAAATAGTGATCAAATTATCCAATAAATATATATATAATATTCAAAATGTACACATAAATTAACAAAGTACAATAAATAAAAAAAATGGATAATCTCCCCTAAAATTGTTATACCACAAATCCAACCCAAACTCCAATCCCTCCCCTTTACTCAACCCCAAACCCCACACAAACTCAAAACTAACTCCAAAAACACATATTAATGAAAAAAAAATTAAAATTTGGAGAGAATCTACCTTTTGGCAAGATTGAGAGTGAGTGAGAATGAGAAAGAGAAATGAGTGTGAGAGAATTAGAGAAGATAGTGATAGAGAGATGAGAGAGTGAGTGAGAGTGAGAGATAGTGAAAAGAGAGATGAGAGAGTGAGTGAGAGTAAGAGATAGTGAAGAGAGAGATGATGAGAGATTAAGTGAGAGGAGTGAGAGTGAGAGAAATGGTGGGATTTGGGGAGAGGGAAAGAGAGAGGAGAGGAAAGAGTAGAGAAAGACATTAAGAAAATGGTGGAGGAGTTATTTTTATTTTAAAAACTGTATCACTTTGCGCGACGAAAAATATTGGAGTATTGGTCGCGCAAAGTTTTGCGCGACGAATATTAGTATATTGGTCTCGCAAAGTCAAATAAAAAAAATCCCGCGTCCCATTTTTGGTACCCGCCCAAATTTTGAAATTTTTGCGCGACGAAAAATACATATTGGTCGCGCAAAGTCTAAAAAAATTAAATAAAAAAATTCCCGCGTCCCATTTTTGGTACCCGCCAAATTTTTGCGCGACGAAAATATATATTGGTCGCGTCAAAGTTTTATTTTTTTTTTTTTTTTTTTCTTTCGCATCCCATTTTTGGTACTCGCGCAAACTTTTGAGAGACGAAAAATTGGTTCATAGCACGATATTTATAAAAATAATTGTTATGAATAATAAAATTATTTTTTTTACAATTTAAAATATAAATAAGGTTAAAGCTACTTAATAAATGTATATACCAATTTCTTAAGTGTTATACGTACAAAATAAATAAATTTAAAGCTACTTAATAAGTAAATATATATATATATATACACACACCATTCAACGATCCAACCGTCAGACTTGTTTGTATATACTTCAAGATCGTATACCCCCAAAAATTGTAAAAAACAAACATTCGGAGACCTAGTAACGGGACAAAAAATTTCAACGGTTCTTAATGAAAAATCACGATTTAACGGTTATTTTAACTCCGATTTTGATGATTTTTTACAGCTACACTCCTTGACCCTATATGAATACAATGAACTAAATCGATCGTCAATTTAAAATATTTACACTAGTGGATACCACAAAATCTTATGTTATATTTAACAAAAGTATAAATAAACTCTTAATTGTTAGTGAATATATTGTTTTGATGGCATACGCATTCAAAAAAACAAGTTTCAACGATCCAACCGTCAAACTTATTTGTTTATACTTCGAGATCATATACGCCAAAAATCGCAAAAAATAAACATTCAGAGATCAAGTAACGGGACAAAACTTTTCGACGGTTATAAATGAAAAATCTTGATTCAACGGTTATTTGAACTCCGATTTTGATGATTTTTTACCGCTACACTCCTTTACCCTATATGAATACAATGACTGAATTTGATCTTCAATTTAAAATATTTACACTAGTGGATACCACAAAATCTTATGTTATATTTAACAAAAGTATAAATAAACTCTTAATTGTTAGTGAATATATTGTTTTGATGGCATACACATTCTATGAAACTAGTTTGAACGATCCAACCGTCAAACTTGTTTGTTTATACTTCGAGATCATATACGCCAAAAATCGCAAAAAATAAACATTCAGAGATCAAGTAACGGGACAAAACTTTTCGACGGTTATAAATGAAAAATCATGATTCAACGGTTATTTTAACTCTGATTTTGATGATTTTTTACCGCTACACTCCTTTACCCTATATGAATACAATGACTGAATTTGATCTTCAATTTAAAATATTTACACTAGTGGATACCACAAAATCTTATGTTATATTTAACAAAAGTATAAATAAACTCTTAATTGTTAGTGAATATATTGTTTTGATGGCATATGCATTCTATGAAACTAGTTTGAACGATCCAACCGTCAAACTTGTTTGTTTATACTTCGAGATCATATACGCTAAAAATCGGAAGAAATAAACATTCAGAGATCAAGTAATGGGACAAAACTTTTCGACGGTTATAAATGAAAAATCACGATTTAACAGTTATTTTAACTCCGATTTTGATGATTTTTTTATAGCTACACACTTTGACCCTATATGAATACAATGAACTAATTCGATCGTCAATTTAAAAAATATATTTTCTAATAAAAACCCAATCCAAAAAACAATAATATACTTTTCTAACCAATATTTTAAAAAATATTTTATTTATTTTATTTATTTTTATAAGGACTTTGCGCGACGAAGTTAATTGTTTCGTCGCGCAAAGTTACTTAGAGCGACAAATTTTTTTTCGTCGCACAAAATTTGGTCGCGCAAGACTTTGAGCGACGATGTATTGTCGTCGCGCAAAAGTTGGTCGCGCAAGGTTTTTAGCGACAAAGTTTTGAGTTTCATCGCGCAAAGTGTCTTTGCGCGACGAAAAATTATTCGTCGCGCAAAATTTGGTCGCGTAAGGGTTATTTTGTAGTAGTGCAAGAAGGTCTTCATATTTCCCATTTATTCTTTACTGATGATTTAATCCTTTTTGGGGAAGCTACTATTGATCAAGCTTGGTTGATGAAACAATATTTGGATGATTTCTGTCAATTGTCTGGCCAGTGAGTTAGCTTTGAAAAGTATATGATATGTATTTCCCCAAATATGTGCTTTGATTTGGCTAATTCAATTGCTGCGATAAGTGGTTCTCCTCGCACTACTAGCCTTGGTAAGTACCTTGGTGTCCCTCTTATTCATACTTGAGTTAATAAACAAACGTATCAAGAGGTTATTGCTAAAGTTCAGAAGAGATTAGCTTCTTGGAAGAGCCATATGTCATCTATGGCTGGTAGAATTACTTTGCTTCAATCTGTTACTGCTACAATTCCTATCTATACTATGCAAATTGCCAAGTTGCCTATGTCTGTCTATGATAAATTGGATCAGCTCAACATAAATTTTCTTTGGGGGCATACCAATAATACATCTAAAATCCATCTTATCAATTGGAAGCAAGTGTGTAAACCTAAGGTAGCTGGTGGATTAGGCATTAAAAGGTCTGCTTGGATGAACCAAGCTCTTTTGGCCAAGACTGGATGGAGACTTCTTCAACATGAGCAAGGTTTGTGGTCTTAGGTTTGATATGCTAAGTATTTAAAACACCAGAACATTTTAGCTGTGAAAGACTCTTATTTTCCTTGTAGCTCTAGTGTTTGGAGGAGTGTTTTATATGGTTGTGGGGGGACTTTTTCTTCCTGCAGTTAATGGGCTGGGCTGCTGTAAAAGGGTGGACTGAGGAGACTGTCCCCTTTTGCCTGGGTTCGAAAATTAAGCCCCAAAATACCTCGAAAGGGTAGCAAAACCTTAGGAGATATTTTGGCTATCTTCACTGATCAAAATAATGGTGACTTACATTTAATTTTGGCATGCTTTCAGACAGTCTTTTAGCTCATCATGAGTGGCATGTGGCATGGGAGCAAAACCAACATAAGTTTAGCACTAAGAGAGAGGTTAGGCTTGGTTTATGAGAAAAGAAAGTATTAAGGTAAGGAATGAGGTGTTTTGTGAGGAAGTTTGACTGGGGAAAGAGGAAAAAGAAAGACAGAATTCTTCTAACAGCTGCCAGAAAAACAAATTGGAGAAGAAGATGAACAGTGCACGAGGTAGTTAGATTTTTGCAAGTTAGAGAGAAAGCTTGCTCCCTAGAGTTGAGTTGTTTTTGTTGGGTAGGGGAAGCCTCAATTTATAGCTGCTGGAAATCACCATTCTTCAAGAAACCCTAATGGCTTCTACTTATTTTGGCTAAGCTTTTTCCTCCTTTCTCCTCCTCTTCTCTGACTTCCCTTTCTTGGCAAAAATTGCCTCTGTTTATTTGCTCGAATTCAGGAAATTTGGGAGCTCAATATCCCCCTTTCCCGCAGCTGCGTGGTGAGAGCTTCCCTTCTTGGTTACTGTTTTTTCTTCTTTCCTTCCCCATGCCTTGGCTGAATTTGATGAAGGAAAGGAAGTGAAAATATATGCTGGTCCAAGGGGTGCTTTTGACAGGGTGCAGGCCAGCATTCCTTGGTTCTTTGGGCGTCTCTGGCTTGGAACTTGCTCCCAGCAGCTTTGCTTGATGAGTCTGCCAACCTCCTCCTTCACGTGTTCTTTGTTTTTTCAAAAGAGCTGAAGCTTTTGTGGGCTATTTTGGGTTTTTCTAAGGGCCAAGATGGCTTTCTAAGCAAATGGGCTTTTTGTGAAACATTGGGCTTCTTGATTTGGGCTTATTATTTTTTTGGTTGGGTTATCTCTTGGTTAGGTTATTTTGCTTGGGCTTTTGGACTACTTTTCTCTCTTGTGCTTACCCACATGTTTGGGGCTAAGAAATGGGCTTGAGTCTCGAGTCTCCCAAGCAACCCGAGACCTTCCATTTCTCGGTTCATCAATAGGTCTCATGTTGATTTATCACCATCCATACCACAACCCACTCAAGCAAGCCCCGGTTTTTTGAGTGGCTTGGGCCCACCTAGACTTGTAGCGTGATTGGGTGTGCGATAATGATTTCGTGCTTGGCATGGCACATTGTTTGGCATGTTTTAATTTATCGTCCTGCGATGCTTATTTTTGCATGGGCCTGTAAACATGGTATATTTTATCTCAACCCCGAGTGAATTTATTTATTTAGCGTGGCATGTGCATTGTAATTCGCATGTGGTAGGTTTTGGTGCACTCTGCTTTACGCTTTTCCTTAATGGATCGTCGTTTTGGGCTGATAATTTATTCGGGCCCAACCATATATTTTTTGGGTCTCAACAATGGTAATTCTATCCTTTCCAAAGGTGTTAAGTGGAGAGTAGGTTCTGGGGATAATGTTTTATTTTGGACTGATAGGTGGTTGAGTTGTGGTCCTCTGTATCAATATGCTCTCATTGATCTCTATGAGGAAATGCTTCAGTTGAATGTTGGTGATTTTTTGGAGGAGGGGGTCTGGGACTTTAACTGTTTGTCTTCCTCTTCATATTATTCAATTAATTTTAAGTGTTCATGCTGGTTTTAATGGTAGTGGGGCTAATAGATATATTTGGCAATTCACGCCTAATGGTTCTTTCTCGGTAAAATCAGCTTATAGTTCTTTTTTACCTGCTGAGGCTTCAGGTAAATGGGACTGGCAGTTTCTTTGGAAGTTGCGACTCCCTCCTAAGGTTAAAACTTTTCTTTGGATTGTTTGTCATCAAAAGTTGCTTACTAATGTGCAAAGGCAGAAGAGAGGTCTCACTCAGGTTCCTACTTGTCCTAGATGTGATTATCCTATGGAAACTATTGCTCACTGGTTTAAGGATTGTCCTTTCTCTTTGGCTATTTGGAATTGTCTTCAAATTGGAGATAATTCTAGCCCTGATATGATGGATTTGAAAGAGTGGCTATTAAGGAATCTTCAATCTAAAAGAAAGGTTTATAATGGGTTGCTTTGGCCTCTGGTTTTTGCTCTTTATTTGTGGTTTATCTGGAAATGGAGATGTAAAGTAATTTTTGATCAAAGGTTTGTTATGCCTGGTGAACCACAACAATTAATTCTTCAGTATGCTTTGGAGTGGTTTAATGCTACAAAACCTCTTTCCCCTTCTTATGTTCCATCTGTTGTTCAACTTCATTGGATAGCCCATACTTATGGAGTTTGTAAGATTAACACATATGGAAGTCGTAATAGTGATTCTGGGTTTATTGGTGTTGGTTCTCTCTTAAGAGATAATTATGGTGCTTGGATTAAGGGCTTCTCTGTGAACCTGGGTGTTGGTTTTGTTCTTGAACCTGAGTTATGGGGCATTTTTTGGGGACTTCATTTGGCTTGGGAGTCTGGCTTTCGATTTGTGGAGGTGGAAAGTGACTCTCAAGTGTGGCTGTGGCTCTTCTTTCTAGCTCTACTATTTCCACACACCCCCTGTTTAGCCTTATTAGTTGTTGCAAGTTAAAGGTGCAAGCTGGTTGGAGATGTTCAGTTAAGCATATGTTCAGGGAGTAGAATGTGGCGGCTGATGTCTTGGCTTCTAAGAGTTCTGAGTTTGGCCCTGGGGTGCAGTATTTTACTGAGATGCCTGCTTTTCTTGTGACTTGTTTGGCTGAGGATGCTTTTGGGGTGTCCAGGTCTCGTGTTGTTTGTGCTTTGTTTGTTTGTTCTAGGCTCTTAGCCCCCTTGTTACCAAAATAATAATAATAATAATAATAATTCTTATTTATAAAATTAGTAAAGAGCTATGATACAAGAAGTATAAGGAAGTGCTATAAAGGGAGCCAAAGTCAGTAAAGTCCATGTAATAGATATAGATGAAAGCTAAAATTGTGCCACACAACTATTCTATGGTTTCCTAGAGTACTTGGGTGACTTGACAGTAGTATGCCACCACCATGAATAGCCCTATGCGTTGGCTTTGTAGGGTGCTTAGTGAACACTCTCAAATTTAAGGCTATAAATAAGAATACATATAATGTTTATACCACATGCTTAAATATTCCACCTCATGCTTTAACAAGAATTAACAAACTATATGAACGCAATCAACTTTGTACAAAATTCTTAGTAAGCATAAGGGCCTTTCTAATGCTTTTGTATAGTGTAAAAATATATAATAAATATTAAATAGGGCTGAAATGAAAAGTCATGCAATAGCCAGATTCCATATATATGGCTTGCCATGCAAAAATATATATATATTATCAATTATATAGTATGTAAGCATTAAATATTAAATATTTATTTATTTATTTTTAAGTACAGGGTTTCACATGATTATACATATGAGATTATATGTTTGTTAAGGAAAACTAAAAACATTGGGTAAACAAAATCTAACAGTATATCATCCCAAATTAACTTTCATTTCTTGTGCAGGTGTCACAAGTGGAAGCATCTTCTTTTTTTTAAAAAAAATTTCCATTATGGACTTTACAAATATGGATATTCTCTTCTTTCCTAGATTTTAGTATCCCAATTTTCAGTTCCTGTATTTGATAAACTCTCTTCTCATTATGCAGTGTTCAGTTTTTGGTTCAATATTGGCAAAGAGTGTTGTTTCTTTTTTAGGAGAGAAATGCAAAGAGTGTTTTTATTCTTTTTGGAGAGAAATGCAAAGAGTATTGTTCTTTAATTTTCTAGTTGTATGATTAGCAAAGATTGAGGGAAATAATAAGGCTTTGAAAAGATTGAGGGAAATAATTTTCTAGCTGAAGCACACAAAGATTTACTAGCTAGTCATCCATGGTAAGGATTATTCGTCTCTTTCTTTTCAAAAAAAATTGTTGGCAAGTGTTGTATGTGTTTGTTAGTGGCTTTTCTTGCATGGTATGGTCAATGAGTTTAGCATGGGCTTATCTGCTCCTCTTTGCTTGTCATTGGTTTGGTTCAATATTGGCAAAGAGTGTTTGGTTCAATATTGTCAGTTTTTGGTTCAATGTTGGCAAAAGAGTGTTGTTTCTTTTTTTGGGAGAGAAATGCAAAGAGTGTTTTTTTAAAAAATTTATTTATTTATAATAATTTATATAAAAATAATAATGTACCTATTTCGTGATATATCTCCTAATATTTTAACTAACATTTGATTTATTTGTTACTTGATTTTAAATTTTTTTGAATAATAATGTACCTATTTCGTGATTTATTAAAAACAACATATCAAATTTTTTCTTTTTTTTATGAACGATAATATACCTATTAATTTTCTAATGTACCTATTATTTTTATGGATAATAATATATATACCTATTATCTATTATGAATATAATTTATCTATTTATTATGGATAATAATCTAATTTAGCTATTATTTTTTGTGATACTTAATGCGAATTTCCATATACTTGACTAAACCCTAGATTAGTCTTTGTGCTTATCGATATTGGGTTATAGTGTTGTGTTATTCATTACTCGCAAAACATTTAGTAGCTATCTTTTAGTAGTTGGTATATTAATAGTATTGAATTATTCCAAGTTTTGGAGTTGTAGTGAAATTAGTAAGTATATTAGTAGTTTGTAAATTGTATAGCTAAATATTATTAGTAGGCTGTAGAAGTCTTCGGGTGTACATATATAACCCCCCTTTCTCTAAAACTGAGTACTGCGTCTTTATGAAACTTCCCCCTTCTCTCGGTTCGATACCCCATGCTTAGTAATTTGAACTCTTTACTTGTCTTGTAGTTCCCTGTTGCTTATTCCTATTAATCCACCCTCCACCCTCTGTCTTCTGAATGTATCTCTCTTTCCTAAAGGTTACCAACCATTTTTCTTTATCTTCACAATGAAATCAATAAAATCAATACTAGTATTGATTTTTGTACAACTCTTATTCACAGTAATGAACCTTCTCTACAAGGTGGCTGCTGGAGATGGCGTAAATCTGACAGTTCTGGTAGCCTACCGGATGTGTTTTTGGTGCGGCCGTGATGTTTGTACTAATCATATAATAAGGTCCTGAAAGTGCCTCAACAATTTTTTTTTTTTTTTTTTTTTTTTTTTTTTTTTTTTTTTTTTGAACTTCAGTCAAACAATCGTCTGATCTATTATAGCACGGATGTGCATTAGTATAATTGTCTGGTCATAATTATTTTCAATTTGCAGGGACTGCATAACAAAACTGACATGGATGGTACTCTTGAAAGGTTTTTTCTGCGGGCTATTTGGGTAACTAATTTTCCATCTTCTTATTACAATATCGTAGAAAATTTAGGTTTTCCCCCGCAAATTTAGTTTTCCTTACGTGCAAGTGCAACCCATCATAGATATAATGCATATATGTATGACTTAAGTTTGTTGTAGAGTGGCGTAACCAGGTCTTAAGTAGCATATATTAAGAACTTAAACTGGCAGTTCAATTCTCATGTGATATGGTATGCGAGTGTATGCTAGCATATATATGACGGCTTGTTCAGTATAACAGTAATTCAAAGAAGAAAGAAAAAATTGAGATCTATAGTAGGCTAGTGCTGAAGCTGGCTCTTTTATTGGTAATATATATAGCGTCTTTCGTAGGAATTTGGATGAGTCTAATGAAAAATCATCATTTTCACCTTTAAAAAAATTTGTCGTTCAAATGGTAATGGACATAAATTTAGGGATATGTAAGTTTTTTTTTCCCCATTAAAATAGAAAAAAGTATTGTTTGTAACTTTTTATACTCACCTATGCTTCTTATGTGTTTATCTCCTAATAGTTTAACACAACGAATCTTTATTTTAACATTTGATTTATTGGTTACTTGATTTAATTTTTTTTTGAATAATAATGTACCTATTTCGTGATAATATACCTATTTATTTTCTAAATTATCTATTATTTTTATGGATAATAATATACATATTATCTTTTATGAATAATTATTTATCTATTTATTACGGATAATAATGCATAGGTAAAAAAATTTCAAGTTTTCGTGCTATAGTTAAATAATTATTTATAAAATCTAGGTAAATTAGGTAAAAACATGGTGGGTTTATGTCTAGAATATAGGAGTTACATGGACTTTTCTTCATGTGAGCCAAATTTACAACATCTCAAATAATTAAGCACCTATTATTTATTTCAGGGGTTCGTTGTCAACAAACTTATACATTGAGAGCCTGTCTTTAACATCACCAACATATACAGTTGCCATGTTAAATCTGGTGCCGGTCATCACCTTTATCCTAGCGGTAATTTTCAGGTAATATCCTAGCAAACCTCTTTTTATATATGATCTGTATAATGTTTAATTAATTTGCATTGTGCAAGAACTGTTCTTAATTTAATTTTATATTTCAGGTTAGAGAAATTGTCCCTACAAACTACTACCGGTAAAGTTAAAATTATTGGAATAGTTATGGGCATAGGAGGAGCTATGGTGTTCAACCTCTACAGAGGCAAAGAGATCAACATGTGGTCAACGCATGTTGATCTTCTCCATACTCATGGGGAGCCACACACGGCATCGCACAAAAGTCCTCAAGGTCTTTTGTGGGGGTGCATGTTATCATTGGGTGGTTGCGTCTCGTACGCATTATGGTTTTTAGTTCAGGTTAGGTTTCTTTATTTCTTTTGTTTTCGTTTTAGCCGTTTTTTCTTGTTATTTATGTACCTTATTTTATCAATGCAGGAAAATCAGATAAAGAATTTCCCCTATCCTTACTCAAGCACAGCTCTAACGTCCCTGATGGCATCAATTCAATCTGTAATTTTTGCCCTCTGCTTGGAGAGGGACTGGAAGCAATGGAAGTTGGTACTTATGGCTTCATATTCGGTAGATAATATATATATATATATTTTATTAGTGTCGAAAAGTTTTCTTTGAATATAATAATGTCACTATTAATTAAAAGTGTTGTACAATTTTTCAAAAATACCTGAATTTTAGTTGGAACCAGATCTGAGTTTCTATATTCCTCTTTGAATTTTGTTTAGGGAATCTTGATCTCAGGACTTGCTCTGATCCTAATGACATGGGGTGTAAAGAAGGAAGGGCAATTCTTTGCTTCGGTTTTTCAGCCTGTGCTGCTTGTGATGGTTGCACTTGCAGGCTCTTCCCTCCTTGATGAGAAGTTACATATGGGAAGGTATGACTTGTCTATTATTTTCTTAATTTCTTGTCTTTGTTACTTAATTAGTTTGTTGCCTTGGAGACTTGGTTTATAATTACTCTACTTTTTCTGGGCTTTCGTTAATTCATCTTCCTCTTATGTCAGCATACTAGGAGGGCTGTTTATTGTGGTTGGACTATACGCCATATTGTGGGCTAGTAGTAAGGATAAATCTAATTCTCAACCCACATCCGTGGAGGAGATGTCAATTCACTCAAGTATTGCACATGCCGAAATAGACGACGGGGATTCACCGTCATTGTGATGCTTTGAAAACTGTCGTTAAATCGACCACCATCTTTTGGAGTATGAAACTACGATGACTTTTCACTGTCATTGTTTATATGTAAATACGACGATTTTTAGTAAAATTGTCATTGTTCTGATGTAAAAATGTAAAATTGCTTGCAAAACTTGAAAAATGTAAATGTTCTTTGCTAATCATACAACTAGAAAATTATAATATATATGGTGGGGATCCTATTTTCAAAGCCTTATTATTTTCCTCAATCTTTGCTGATCATACAACTAGAGAATTAAAACACAACACTCTTTGCATTCTCTCAACAACAAAAAAACAAAAACAAAAACACTCTTTGCATTTCTCTCCAAAAAAAAACAACAACAACAACAACACTTTTTGCATGTCTCTCAAAAAAAAAAACAAAAAAAAGAGTAAATGAAAGAGAGTTTATCCAAGTTCAGAAACTGAAAATTAATGGATACTAAAATCTAAGAAAGAAAAGAATATCCATATTTGTAAAGTTCATAATGGCAATTTGTTTTTAAAAAGAAGATGCTTGCGCTAGTGAACACATATGCAAAAGAAATGAAAGTTAATTTGGGATGATACCCTTAAAATAAAGGGAGCTTTCACTAATATACTCAAAATAGGGGCTAAAATTATATAAAAAAACCCCACATGGAATGCACTTTAGAAACACACCCAAAACTCATTTACTACATAAGAAATTAGTGTTGAAATTCCTATAAATTACGTGACTGCCATTGATCAACTTAAAAGAAGCCAAACACAAAAAACTTAAATAGCACCCAAAACAAGCCCAGCCTAATTTTATAAAAAGACCCAAACAATTCATTACAAACAAAATATCTTGAAAACGGTAGCTTCATTAACGTGTCATGTTGATTAATAACTGTAATGTTCCACACCTTCATTGTCATGTTGATCAATGGCTGTAATGTTCCAGTCTAGGGTAATAACACTGCCAGTTTACTGTCATGTTGATTAATGGCTATAATGTTCTAATCTAGGGTAATAACACTGCTAGTTTCCTATGAAATCTTATTTCTAATGCATTTCTACCCATGTAATATTCCAGTCTAGGGTAATAACACTACTATTTTCCTATGATATCCTATTTTTAATTCATCTTTACCCCTGTAATGTTCCAGTTTAAGGTAATAACATTGCTAGTTTCCTATGACATCCTATTTCTAATGCATGTCTACCTATGTAATGTTCCAGTATAGGTTAATAATACTGCAATTTTGTAATGTTCCAGTTTAGGGTAATAACATTGTTAGTTTACTGTCGTGTTGATTAATGGCTATAATGTGCTAGTCTATGGTAATAACACTGCTAGTTTATTGTCATGTTGATTAATGACTGTAATGTTCCAGTCTATGGTAATAACACTACTAGTTTCATATGACATCCTATTTCTAATGCATGTCTACCCCGTGTAATGTTCCAGTCTAGGGTAACAACACTACTAGTTTCTTATGACATCTTATTTCTAGGGTAATAACACTACTAGTTTCCTATAACATTCTATTTCTAATGCATGTCTACCCCTGTAATGTTCCAGTCTAGGGTAATAACACTGCTAATTTCCTATGACATCCTATTTCTAATGCATATCTACCCATATAATGTTCTAGTATAAAGTAATAACACTGCTAGTTTACTGTTATGTTGATTAATGTTATCTTGTTGCTATTTCTAATACATGTCCACCAAAGAAAAGAAGAAAGAACAAACCAGACCAACTCAAAACAAGTCGAGCCCAAATTGTTAATACTATTATATCATAAAAGTACATTGTTAATACTATGTCATAGAAGTACATTGTTAAACAAAAATGAGATCCATAACTGAAATAGTAACAAAGGATAAATCGATCATCAAAGCTTAAAATACATTTCGAAAATCAACTAAAATCTGAAGAGAAACACATAATTGAAGTAAAAGATAAAAAAATCTCAAGTCTAAACCAAATGATGATGACGACGACAATAAAGATGACGATGATGATGACAACGACGTGGTGAAAGAGGAGTAGAGCTAAGAGCATCTGATTGAGGTTCGTTCAGGTTCCAATCAATTCGGAAAAAAAAATAGTAGAAGCACGATTTTAGAACAAGAAATTGAAGGTGAAATATTGAAAATTGTAAATGAGATATGAAGAATATAGTTGGACCTGAGATTGAGCTTCAATGGAAGCTCATCTTGCTCCAACATCGAGAAAGGAGAAAATAAATCTGATTTGGGTTTTTTGGCTGATTTGGTTTTTTCGGCAGATCTTGGTAGATTTGATTTTTCTCTCTCAAGTCCATAGTACAAGGGCAATATAGGTATTTTACACACACAAATAAACTAAAAAATAGCTATTAAATTTTTTAAAAAATTGACAACTATCGATTTTTGGATTTTTTTTGGGTGTGTTTATAGTGTTCGCACTAAATCTGAACAGATAAGAGTTTAGGCTAACTTACAAGTATGCTGATGGTTGAGAACCGGAGTGACCTTCTTCCGTGATGTCTGAAGGTTCGAGCGGGGGCTGGATCCAACTTTAGGAGGGGATACCGGTGTGGTACCTGTCGAAGGTACTCCGATGCCAAAGTTAGGGACTAAGAGCGATTTTATTGACAGTGAAAGCACTAATCAAGTCAGAAAGTCTTACCACTTGGCTGGGCCAAGGGGCTCTATTTATAAAGAGCATTTGTGATGCTCTTAGCACTTAGTTTCGATGTGAGACTCGTGAGAGTGTCTTCGGAGGTCGACACGTGATTCTGACAGGCTCTAGCAGGAATTCTGAGGCAATCTGTCATAATCGGATTGATGTGATGGTTGGTCGATCGGTAGACGATACCGAAGGTTGGCGTAGGTAGTGATGCTGCGTTACCGACCAACTAAATCTGTACTGAGTGCCGAGAGAACATTCGGTATGGCCCCAGTTGAGCTGGTCACTTGCTTTACAGGCATTCCACGTGTTGCGACGTGAGTGGGTGGTCAGATATGGTACAAACAAGTAGTGTGTAAATTGTATAGGTAAATAATTTTAAAGTTTCCGTGCTATAGTTAAATAATTATTTATAAAATCTAGGTAAATTAGGTCAAAATATGGTAGGTTTATGTCTCGAATGTAGGAGTTACATGGACTTTTCTTCATGTGACCCAAATATTTGGGCCTCAAATCTTTTCGAAGACAGAGACGGACCGACCTTTTTGTACTTTGGTTCTTTTACTAAAACAGAGCTAACAAGATGAGAAAGACGGTTGAATCCAACAGATTGTCTTTTTACTACGATTCCAAAGTGATGAGATCAATTGGGTTTTTGAATTACGTGGAAACCAGGCAGTGAGACACTGAATTGGATTTTGCATGTCTTTATAAAAAAAAATATAAATTACTCTTTGCATGTCAAAAAAAAAAAAAAAAAAAAAAAAAATACTTTTTGCATGTCTCTAAAAAAAATTAATAATCCACCTACTTCTATTCAGTCCTAACAATTTACTACAGTTCTGATACCAATTTTGTCACGCCCCAAAACTGAAGTGTGAATTAAAGGTGTTTATACCAAAATGAACACCCAATGAACATCAACCACGTGGACTATTCCAGGGCTACGTGTGCCTTCGGCACTCACCTTCGGTACTGGACCTACCGATCACAACATTAGGGCAACTTTGCCCACTCTGGCACGTGGCAGCTCCACGATTGACGCCCAGAGTCCCACATCGAAACTCTAAACAAATTGCACACCTCCCAAGGCCTATAAAAGAGGACACCTATCCCAGCCTGAAGGTAATCAATCAGAACTTACGGCATACTGCCTATTGATCTGCAGTTAAAACTTACTAAATCCGTACTTACTTAAGCATCGGAGAGCCTTCGGCCGGTACCACACCGGTGCCCTAGGATTTACCGTGTGTTTGCTATCTTACAGATCGCACACCCTACCGAGGACATCAGATACCGAAGAGACTTAATCACTAAGTTGCGCGGGAAAGTGCAGAACCATTTTTCTGCGTCAACAGTTTGGCGCCGTCTGTGGGAAATCGATATAATCAACCTACAATTCCTAAACAAAACAAATGGGAACCACTTCAGGACCACAGTTCCTATCAGAGGATGGATTACCGTACGGTATGCCAAGTGGAGCAAGCCCCGCGCTGCACCCTAGCACTCCCTTCGGTAATCCACCTGCGCTTCAGACCACGGTCGAAGCAGAGCTTTTGGCTCAGATGACCTCCCTCCGAAAGGAGATGGCTAAACTCCAAGAACGTAACAATCTCCTCTCGTCCAAAGTGGACGAAACCCAACGGTTGCTTAATCAGCAGGAAACGCAAAACGTTCGGACCACCGAATCTTCCCAGAGTCAGCAGACCCCCGGTCGGCAGAGGAAGGGAAAACAGGGGGCAAAGGCAACGCCTGCGCCTTCCAAGCAGCTGGTAGTCCCGGCACCCCCAGGACCAACCGCACGTACCGAAGAAGGTATACACCGACTGTCGTCATCGGATCAACGACAAGAAGGATGCCGAACGGCATAGGTCCCCAATCAGACTAAACGCCAACTTGAGGGACTCCCGGATGAGGGTCTTGGGGGATAAGTCGCCCCTTCGGAGGGCTCAGGGTTTGGATTCGGCGCAGGAATCCGACAATGAGTACATCCCCACCAGGGACACCGAATCGAGCTACCGTTCGGAAGCTCCCCCGGAGTATTCGAAAGGCGAGATCACCAAGTCCAAGGAAAGCTTCCGAAGACTTTGGTTCCGAGGACGTCCCCAGCCGAGACCCCACCATCCGATTACTTTTTCCAAAGAATCCAGAAGATGGAGGAAGACCGAACCCGATCCCAGGTCCCTGACTGGGGAAAACTTCGACCCGGGCCCTTTACCGAGCGCATCAAGAGGTCCAGACCAGACAGGGAGGTGCAGCCGCTGCGCATACCCTTCTATACCGGTGTGGAGGACCCTCTGACGCACCTTCACTCTTTCCAATCGGCAGTTGGATGTAAGGGCCTTAGCGACGAGGGACAATGCCTGCTGTTCCCCTCGTCCCTTACCGGAGCTGCACTGAACTGGTTCTACCGTCTCGAGCCAGGGACGGTACACTCCTTTGAAGAACTGAAGCAGATCTTCCTCAACCACTTCATGATCCAGACGGACCGTTTGTACTCTGCCGATGATCTGTACACAATTCGGCAAAAGGGAGGACGAACCCCTACGGGAATACGCAGCGCGCTTCAGTCACGAGTACTCGAGGTGTCCCGAAACGGACGATAGGGCAGCCTACGGCGCCTTCAAGAGTGGCCTACGGTCCTCTCACTTCCGATATCTCGTGCACAGTAGCAACTGGCGCACGTATGACGAGTTAATGAAGCAGGCGGCAGTCCATGCGAAGGCCGAATACTTCAACTCCAAACCCGGGCCTTCGGCTCGGAAGGAGGAATCGGCAGCCAAAAGTTATCCCGGCCGAACCGACGAACCGTCGGCAGGACACAAACGGAAGGACGACCGGGATGGCCGTCAGGGAAACTCAAAGAAGGGACGTGGGAAGTACGGTCGTAACGACCACCGGGCACCCCTACCGAATCACGATCGTGCTCAGGAAGTCTTCACCCTGCTGAACACGACGTACGAGACCGTTCTAATGAACGAACACGACCAGATCCCGAAGCCGACCAACCGGAAGCCCAATCGGCAGGATAATCGGGATACTGGCAAATTCTGCCGATATCACCAGCAGAACAGCCACAATACCGAAGACTGCATCAGTCTAAGGAAAATTGTCGAGCGCCTGATTCGGGAAGGGAAGTTGGATCAGTACCTTGCCAGGCCGCCACAGGCCCCGGCACCGAATGCGAATCGGCAGATCAACATGATCAACACGATCAGCGGTGGCCCCACCCTGGCGGGACCCTCCAACCGCTCGGCGAAGCAGTATGTGCGCGCCGCCCACTGCCCTCAGGTCTTCGGCATAGCAGAGGATCGGTGCCGAAAAATGCCAAAGGTGGGATGGGAGCCCATCACATTCAGTGAAGAAGAAGAGGAGGGGATCATCTACCCCCACGACGACCCAATGATCATTCGGGCTGAGATCGCCGATTACGACGTGGGTCGGGTGCTGATTGACACCGGAAGCTCGGTGAACGTGATCTTTGCCGATGCGTTCAAGGGACTGGGGATTGCGGATAGCATGGTCAATCGGCAAATCACGCCTCTCCTCAGTTTCTCTGGGGATCTGGTACAACCGGTCGGTAGCATCAGTTTACCCATTGCCTTCGGCATGGCCCCCCGGAAGACCATGACCTATGACCAATTCCTCATTGTTGACTGCCCAACGGCATACAACGTCATCATAGGGCGAACGGCCCTCACCAGGATCAAAGCCCACCTATCCACACACATGTTGCTGATGAAGTTCCCAACACGCAACGGTACCGGAGCCATCCGGGGCGATCAGCTCAGCGCACGGACGTGCTATGCCACGGCCCTTAAGTCGGTAGCCAGCAAACCGCCAATGGAGGCCATGACCTTGCAGGGACTACCGAACGGTAACGAACCCATTGACGACCCCCGGGAGGAAAACACAACGCCAATGGCACAGCCCGCCGAGGAGCTGGAGACCATAATCCTGAACAAGAACTTCCCCGATTGGTGGGTGAAGATCGGCACCAATCTGGAACCCGACCTCCGAAGGCAGTTCATCGACTTCTTACGGCAACATGCGGAAGTCTTCGCCTGGTCTTATGACGACATGCCCGGCATATCACCCGACGTCATCAGCCACAAGCTCAGCATCTCCCCCGCCCACAAACCAGTCAGGCAAAAGCGCCGATCGTACGATGCCGAACGGTATGAGGCAATGCGAGCCGAAGTCGACAAGCTCAAAGCCATCGGCTTTGTCAGGGAAGCTACGTACCCTGTTTGGCTGGCCAACTCAGTCATGGTTCGGAAAGCCAGGGGAGGATGGCGAATGTGTCAAGACTATACCGACCTGAATAAGGCCTGTCCGAAAGACAGTTTCCCCTTACCAGGATCGATCAGCTCGTCGATGCCACCGCCGGGCACGAACTGCTCAGCTTCATGGACGCGTATTCAGGATACAACCAGATCTTCATGGACCCTGCCGATAGAGAGCATACGGCATTCATCACAGATCGCGGTTTGTACTGTTACAACGTCATGCCCTTCGGCCTGAAGAACGCGGGGGCAACTTACCAACGGCTCGTCAACCGATCTTCGCTAAATACATCGGCGGCATCATGGAGGTTTATGTTGACGACATGTTGGTAAAGAGCCGAACGGCAGGGGATCACCTGGAAAACTTGGCCCTCATGTTCGGCATTCTAAAGGACTACCGAATGCGGCTGAACCCGGCGAAGTGCGCCTTCGGTGTATCTTCCGGTAAATTCCTCGGTTTCATGATCAGTCAAAGGGGAATCAAGGCCAATCCCGAAAAAATAAAGGCCATAATCGACATGGAGACGCCGAAGACGCAGAAGGACATTCAGAGCCTTACCGGACGTGTCGCTGCCCTGACACGCTTCATCTCCAAGGCCACCGATAAATGCGTACCGTTCTTCAAAGCTTTGAAAGGGGGCAAACATCATATAACATGGACTCCCGAATGCGACCAAGCATTTCAAAACTTGAAGAACTACATGAGCCAAGCACCACTGTTATCAAAACCACTGCCGGGCGAGGTACTACTGCTGTACCTTTCGGTATCCAACACTGCCGTCAGCTCAGTGTTGATAAGGAAGCCGGAGAAGGCGGAGCTACCGATCTTTTATGTCAGCAAGGCGCTCCAGAGCGCAGAGCTTCGGTACCCACCCTTGGAACAGCTAGCGCTGGCCCTGGTCGTCTCGGCGCGAAGGCTTCGCCCCTACTTCCAGGCTCACGAAGTCACGGTTCTGACGAACCAGCCCCTTCGGCAGGTGCTCCAAAAGCCGGAAACATCTGGCCGATTGGTCAAATGGGCAATCGAGTTGGGGGAGTTTGACATACAGTTCAAACCAAGGCCGGCAGAAAAAGGCCAGGCCGTTGCCGACTTCATCTCCGAGCTCACACCGCCTGCTTTATCGGAACCATCGTCACCGAGCGTCGTCCCTACCGCACCAGAGAAAATGAATACCGAACGTTTCGACACGTCCACTCCTCTCTGGATCCTGCATGTGGACGGCTCGGCAAACCAGCAAGGCTGTGGTGCCGGCTTAGTGTTAACCACTCCAGACGGTAGAAAAATCGAGTACGCCCTCCGATTCAACTTCCGAACCTCCAATAACGAGGCAGAATATGAGGCCCTCCTGGCTGGCCTTCGGCTAGCCCAGAGCATGAGCGCGAGGCAGATCAGCATTCACAGCGACTCCCAGCTCATAGTAAACCAGATAACGGCAGACTTTGCAGCAAAGGACGCCTCCATGTCCGCCTATCTATCGGCAGCCCACCAGCTACTACAGAAATTCCAAGCCTATGAGATACGGCAGATCCCCAGGTCTGAAAATAGCCATGCCGATGCACTCTCGCGATTGGCTTCGGCAATAAATGACAGGATCGGAAGGAAGGTACCGGTGGAGATATTATCCCAACCAAGTACAACCGCCGCTGAGGTATGTACCGTTCGGTACGAGGATACATGGATGTCCCCAATCTATGCCTATCTGAAAGCCGGAACCCTTCCTACCGACAAAACCCAAGCTCGGAAACTTCGCTACCGATCGGCAAGATACACAGTCATCAACGATGTTCTGTACAAACGAGGCTACACGACGCCGTACTTAAAATGCCTGACCAAAGAGCAAGGGGACTACATCCTTCGGGAGGTCCACAGCGGAATCTGCGGGGACCATTCTGGTTCCCGATCGCTCGCACACAAGGTCTTCCGGCAGGGTTATTTCTGGCCGACTCTGCATCAGGATGCCAACACACTAGTCAAGAAGTGCGACAAATGCCAACGGTTCGGTAGTGTCCCTCACATTCCCGCCGAGCCACTGTCACCGATCGTGAGCCCATGGCCGTTCGCCCAATGGGGACTGGATCTAATCGGTCCGATGCCAGAGGGCAAGGGTCAGGTAAAATACGCTGTTGTTGCCGTAGACTACTTCACCAAATGGGTAGAAGCCAAAGAACTAGCAACGATAACGGCAGCCAGAATCGAGGATTTCGTTTGGACAAACATTTGCTGCCGATTCGGCATCCCCTACGCGATCGTCACGGATAACGGCAAGCAATTTGATTCGGAAGTTTTCCGGCAATTCTGCAAACGACTCAAGATCAACCTGTTCTTTGCTTCGCCAGCACACCCCCAATCGAACGGACAGGTCGAAGCCATGAACAAAATTGTCAAGAAGCTGTTGAAACGGCAGCTTGACAAAGCCAAAGGGGCATGGCCAGAAAAGCTTCCGGAGGCGCTATGGGCCATACGGACATCTTACCGAACGGCAACCGGGGAAACACCATTCTCCATGGCTTTCGGTTCAGAGGCAGTAGTCCCAGTAGAGATCGGAGAGCCCTCCTACCGAACGGAAACCTTCGCACCGAAGGCAAATGAGGAAGCGCTGGCTCTGAGCCTCGACTTACTCGAAGAGCGCCGAGCACAAGCCAACCTTCGGAACGAAGCTTACAAACAACGCGTCTCTCGGTACTATGACTCCAGGGTCAGATCCCGCTCTTTCCGAGTCGGAGATTGGGTCATGCGAAAAGTCTCCTTGGCAACCAAGAATCCCACGGAAGGAACCCTCGGACCTTCCTGGGAGGGACCCTACGAGATCATCGGTATCCAGCGATCGGGGACTTACCGACTCAGAGACTCCAATGGAAAGACCCTCGGTCACCCTTGGAACGTAGAGCATTTGAAGTACTACTTCAAATGAAGTCACCTTGCCTACGGCAGGGACATGGAAGAGTCACAAAAGCCTTCGGCATCTCTACAAGCACAGCTTCCGGCATTATAGCGTTACCAAGCCAACGGCGGGTTCTATATTGAAAACGCGCACATAATTGTAATCTCGCCTTCGGCAGTTTATCAATAAAAAGGGCCTTCGGCTCACATATTCGGCACCTTTGTTATATTTTTCAAATCTATCCATTTTTGTTCAAAAAAAAAGGGGTACGGTAGGGACCATCGGTCGCAGCTAACTACGCATTTTGGCATCGCCATTATCCTACCGATTAAAAGACAACTTCGTAAACTTTATTGGGCAAGCACGCGCATTGGTGGTAAACTCCATAACACTTGGAACTCCCTGCGTAAAAGGAAACGTCACTGGCCAACGGCAAATGACCTTTGTTTAAAAGCCTTCGGCATTCAACAGAACGATTTCCTAAAAACGCTACCGATTTAAAAGTAAGTCGCGAATAACTTCAAAAAAAAAAACATAATTAATTATCTAAAAATGCCAACGGCATTAAAGTTGCAACAGAATTACAGAGATGCCAACGGCATCAAATTTAAAATCAAAAACACATAAAGGCAGCTTTAGACGGGACCCTCCATCAGGCGGCAGCTTCGTCGGCATCAGGGGCAGCACCATCGGCTTCGGCAGTTATCCCTTCGGGTTCAGCTGGGACCTCCTCTGTCACATCCTCCCCCTCGTACTCCTCGATCATCTCTTCGATTATGCCCTCAGGAAGGGGGGGTGGGTCAGCAATGAAGTTGAGGTTGAGCTTTTTCCCAGGGTTGTACCGCTTGAAACGGTAGAGCAAGTCCGCCATTTCCGATCCTACCTCCTTGTCCAGCAAGGTAGAGAACTCGGTAGACCGACGGTAGCCCTGGATCGCCTTCTGAACGGCAGCCTCGATCTCGGAAGCCCTGGCCCACTCGGACTCCTCGAAAGCCACCTGGATCGCCTCCTTCGACTCCAGAGCCTCTTTTGCCGTCAGCTGAGCCGCCTCCAATGCCGCAGACATCTCGCCAAGTTTGGCCTGATAAACCTTCACCTGCCGTTCGGCAGCCTGCATGTCCTTGGCCAAGTTTGCCTGGGCTTGGATGGCCTTGCCAGCTTCGGCAACCTTCGCCCTGCCGTCTTCGTATAATTTCTTCGCCTTCTCGGCGGCATTGATGGCCCGCTTAACGCAGAGCCACATGTCCATTGAAGCCTGCACAACAAAAGAAGATGTCAGATGAAAAGAGAACTGGATGACAAGGAAACCCTGAAAACAAAAGGCACTTACCGAGGCTTGGAGACGGAAGGCGCGACCAGCCTCCTCCCGAAGCAGCTTCTTCGGCAGGTCCTCGATCTCCGACAGCTCCATCTGTGAACCAAGGATCATATGGTTCACAAACTGGACCGTCTTCGAAGGACAGGCCAGGGTCACAGCTTCCGAAGGGGCCTCGTCGTCCTCGGCAGAGAAAACGGCCCGTGCAGGCTCTGTTTGTCGCCCGCGTTTTGGAGCGGGGTCGGCATCAACGTCCACGGTAAACGGCCTCTTGCCTGCCGCTCTGGAGGAGGTGCCCTCGGTAGGCGGGACTCGGCCAGGGGATGGACCAGCCTCGTTAGCTTCGGCACGCGCCGACTCAGCCTGCATCTGGCGACGACGCTCGTTGAGTGTCAGATCGTCAGGATCCACGACTGTCGAAGGCGCCGGTGCCGTTGAGGCCTGCCGACTTTTCTTTTTCCCCTGCATGCCGAGCATGAGGCGTCTCTTCGAGGACTCGTTCATCCTCTTCACCTCGGCGGCTTTCCTCTCTTCGGTCACTGCAAGAAGGAATCGGTCAGATTTATCGATACATATTCTGAACTATCAAAATGGGGAAGTATACTTACTCTCGGCAGGGTTGACGAGCCGGGCCTTGATGAGATTGGGAGTGAAAAGAAACTTCGGGTAGACCCTCTCGACGGCAGGAACCTTCAGCCTGACCTTTTCGATCTGCCGGACCTCCGCTTGTGTGGCACTCGGCTGCTTCAATTTGCCTGCACAAAACCAAACGGAATCAGCTTTAAAACGATAAAAGCAAAACCTACAAGCCCTACCGAACGGCAGGATAGCCTACCGGCGATTTGGAATGTGGTTGGGATATGGAAACGGACGGGATGTCCCGAGGGCGACTCCCAGTCACCGGACAAAAGCACCCGCCGTTTCCTCCAAGTCTTCTGGGAGGTCGGAACGGCATTGACGAAGTGACCACGCTCGGCAGCCTTCAGACAATTGGCCTGGACCCAGCCTCCGTGATCGGCACACTTTGATTTCGTGACGCTGTAAAGGTGGGAGAACTGCTCGTACGAAGGTTCTCCCTCCCCAGCCATGCCGAAGGCTGTGACTACCCCCATCAGCGCCACCCAGAAGTTGGGGTTGAACTGGCCGGGAGCGTAGCCGATCTGCGCCAGGATTCTCTGAACGGCAGGCTGCAGAGGAAGCCTCACCCCCTGCAGAAGCACGTCCGTGAAAAAGACGACTTCGCCGTCTTTTGGACTGCTTAGGGATTCGGTAGGAAGTGGGATCCTCATACCTACCGAATCTGGAATGAAGTACTCCGCCCGGAACTTCGCAATCTCCCTTTCGGTGATTCTGTTGGGCTCCAGATAATCCACCCCGAAGACGAGCTCCTTCGGAACCCCCATCGGCACCTTAGGATTGCCGGGGTAGACTACAGATACCCTCGGCCGGATGGAAGGTTCGGTAGCCGCCTCACCACGGCCGGAAGTAGAAGCCTCTGGCTGGTGGCTACCGCTTGCCTCCCCTGGAGCGCCAAGCCCCACGTGGCGACCGTCGCTATACACTATAGACAACGGTACCGGAGCGGTCATAAACCCCTTCCCGATGCCGTGTGTGGGAACTGGGCTAGGCCTTTCGCCGAGTATCTCGACGTCGGTATCGCTCCCCTCCTCGGCATCAGGCCCTACCGCTTCAACATCGGAGTCAAAGAGACCGTCCGATGACTCCTCGTCGAACGCGTTGGGCTCGCGCTCGAAGAATGACTCGCTATCAGACATCTACAAAAACAGGGAAAAATGGGAAACTAAGGCTCATGCCGGATGCTATCCTACCGATCCCTACATCACCACCTATGGCGACTAGACTACCGAATGGAACCCTATGGCCAGTCTAGTTCAAACCAAGGAAGGACGTAAACTCTTAAGGTACGTAAAAGAGAGAAAAGGTAGGGCTACCGAACGGTACCTTTGTTTGGTTTCTGGAAGTGAACGCGGACTGCTTCAGATCGTCTGGACGCAAATCGCCACTCCTACCGGTAACACTCACCGGAAATCGCCTGGTTACCGTTGGCTCTCGTCGGAAATCGCTTTTCCTACCGTTGGTACTCGTCGGAAATCGCCTCGGACAGAGCTCTCACTTCTCACAAGATGCAAAGTGAATTCGCCACCGGGGTCACCCCTATTTATAGTGGGGAGTTCGACAACGGTATCCCTCGAAAAAACCAAACGGCGCATTAATGCGCCGCGCGCCATCATTATTTCCGCCACGTGTCGCTCACCCAATGGAGAACTGACGGCACGCGAGGCGCGGAAGTCGAAGCGCTCAGACGTTTCTTCGCCCGTCAGATCGACGCGACCTTCTGACTTCACCAACGCCAGCCTCTGAACTGGTCATGCCGGAAGGAACGGGGTTTTGCCCCTCCCCCAGGGGGGGGTTACCGAACGGTAAGGCCGTGTTTCCTCCCGAGGACGAATTCAAATCCCCTTCCGAAGACTCTCGCAAGGGGACTTGGGGGACTCCTGTTTATACCAAAATGAACACCCAATGAACATCAACCACGTGGACTATTCCAGGGCTACGTGTGCCTTCGGCACTCACCTTCGGTACTGGACCTACCGATCACAACATTAGGGCAACTTTGCCCACTCTGGCACGTGGCAGCTCCACGATTGACGCCCAGAGTCCCACATCGAAACTCTAAACAAATTGCACACCTCCCAAGGCCTATAAAAGAGGACACCTATCCCAGCCTGAAGGTAATCAATCAGAACTTACGGCATACTGCCTATTGATCTGCAGTTAAAACTTACTAAATCCGTACTTACTTAAGCATCGGAGAGCCTTCGGCCGGTACCACACCGGTGCCCTAGGATTTACCGTGTGTTTGCTATCTTACAGATCGCACACCCTACCGAGGACATCAGATACCGAAGAGACTTAATCACTAAGTTGCGCGGGAAAGTGCAGAACCATTTTTCTGCGTCAACACTTCCCTAAAAAAAAAAAAAAAAAAAAAAAAAAAAAAAAAAAAAAAAAAAAAAAAAAAAAAAAAAAAAAAAAAAAAAAAAAAAAAAAAAAAAAAAAAAAAAAAAAAAAAAAAAAAAAAAAAAAAAAAAAAAAAAAAAAAAAAAAAAAAAAAAAAAAAAAAAAAAAAAAAAAAAAAAAAAAAAAAAAAAAAAAAAAAAAAAAAAAAAAAAAAAAAAAAAAAAAAAAAAAAAAAAAAAAAAAAAAAAAAAAAAAAAAAAAAAAAAAAAAAAAAAAAAAAAAAAAAAAAAAAAAAAAAAAAAAAAAAAAAAAAAAAAAAAAAAAAAAAAAAAAAAAAAAAAAAAAAAAAAAAAAAAAAAAAAAAAAAAAAAAAAAAAAAAAAAAAAAAAAAAAAAAAAAAAACCGCAGGGTCCACCGATGTCGAACCCCTTGGGTCCCCGGGCTGGGCTGGGCTTTCTTTTTGTCTTCCCACTGCGAAAGTGGGTTTGGGCGGCGCTTGCAGGACTCTTTTATCCTCTGGGCCTCGGCAGCTCTCCTGTCTTCCGTCACTACGAAGAGAAAGGGATCGGTAAGAAACCACACAGAAGAAAGACACAATTGCAAATCACGAAGTATACTTACTCTCGGTAGGATCGACCAGCTGGCCCGGATCAAGTTGGCTGTGAAGAGGAACTGCGGATATACCCTCTCTCCTCGGCAGGGACTCTTCCCCTCCATCCTCACCCTCTCCACTTGCTGCATCTCGGCCTGCGTTTGCGATCGGCTGCTTCAGCTTACCTACAAAAAGAAGAGCGAAGAGGGGTTACTCACGGTAAAAAACATGTACTGAGATGAGGTACCGACGGGGCACGTGGTCCCTACCGGCCATTTGGAAGGTTGTGGAATGCGAATCGGGACGGGCTGTTCCCGAAGGTGACTCCCAATCGCCCGAGAGGAGCACCCGCCGATTCCTCCACGACTTCTGTGAAGTCGGTACACAACTGACGAAGTGGCCTCGATCGGTAGCCCTGAGGCAGTTCGCCTGCACCCATCCACCGTGATCGGCACACTTGGACTTGGTGACACTGTAGAGGTGGGAGAACTGCTCGTAGGAAGGGCTCCCTTCGCCAGCCATACCGAAGGCGTTTATGACTCCCATGAGAGCCACCCAAAAGTTGGGGTTGAATTGCCCGGGGCGTAGCCGATCTGGGCTAGAATCCTCTGCACCGCCGGCTGCAACGGCAACCGAACGCCTTGCACAAGGACGTCGGTAAAGAAAACTACTTCGCCGTCCTTCGGCGCACTGAGGGATTCGGTAGGACCCGGATTCTCATCCGTACCGACTCGGGATGTGGTACTCTGCTCGAAGCTTGGCGATCTCCCGATCGGTAATCTTGTTCGGCCCAAGATAGTCCACGCCGAATAGTTTTCCTTCGGCACCCCCATGGGCACCCTGGGATTGCTTGGGTACACTACCGATACCCTGGGCCCAGATGGCGGATTGGCTACCGACTCTCCACGACCGGAAGTGAAGGCGTCCGATTGACGGCTACCGCTCGCCTCCCCGGGCATACCGAGGCCCACGTGGCGGCCGTCACTGTAGACGATAGACAACGGAATGGGAGCGGTCATCAGTCCCTTTCCGATTCCGTGCGTCGGGATAGAGCTGGGCCCTTCGCCGAGTATCTCGACGTCGGTATCGCTCCCGCCCTCGGCACCAGGCCTGCCGCTTCACCATCGGAGTCAAAGAGACCGTCCGATGACTCCTCGTCGAAAGCGTTGGGCTCGCGCTCGGAATATGACTCGCTATCAGACATCTACAAAAACAGGAAGAAGGGAAACTAAGGCTCATGCCGGATGCTATCCTACCGATTCCTACATCGCTACCTATGGCGACTAGACTACCGAATGGAACCCTATGGTCAGTCTAGTTCGAACCAAGGAAGGACGTAACCCTAAAAACATGTAAAGAGAAGGGTGCCGAACGGTACCTTAAAGTGTGCCTTGGAAGATAAGCGCGATCTGTTCTTCGGGATGCTTTACCACCGTTCGCAATGCCGGGAATCGCCTTTCCTACCGTTCGAAACGCCGGAGATCGCCTTGTTACCGATAACACTCACCGGAAATCGCCTGTCTACCGAAAGTCCTCGTCGGAAATCGCCTCAGACAGAGCTCTCACTTCTCACAAGATGCAAAGTGAGTGCGCATCCGGGGTCATCCCTATTTATAGGGGAAGTGGCTGGCAACGGTATTCCTCGAAAAACCAAACGGCGCATTAATGCGCCGCGCGCCATCATTACTTTCGCCACGTGTCATTCACCCAATGGAGAACTGACGGCACGCAAGGCGCAGAAGTCGAAGCGCCCAGACGTCTCTTCGCCCATCAGATCGACGCGACCTTCTGACTTCGCCAACGTCAGCCTCTGAGCTGGTCATGCCGGAAGGAACAAGGTTTGCCCCTCCCCCAGCGGGGTTACCGAACGGTAAGGCCGTGTTTCCTCCCGAGGACGAATTCAAATCCCCTTCCGAAGACTCTCGCAAGGGGACTTGGGGGACTCCTGTTTATACCAAAATGAACACCCAATGAACATCAACCACGTGGACTATTCCAGGCCTACGTTTGGCTTCGGCACTCACCTTCGGTACTGGACCTACCGATCACAACATTAGGGCAACCTCGCCCACTCTGGCACGTGGCAGCTCCACGATTGACGCCCAGAGTCCCACATCGAAACTCTAAACAAATTGCACACCTCCCAAGGCCTATAAAAGAGGACTCCTATCTCAGCCTGAAGGTAATCAATCAGAACTTACGGCATACTGCCTATTGATCTGCAGTTAAAACTTACTAAATCCGTACTTACTTAAGCATCGGAGAGCCTTCGGCCGGTACCACACCGGTGCCCTAGGATTTACCGTGTGTTTGCTATCTTACAGATCGCACACCCTACCGAGGACATCAGATACCGAAGAGACTTAATCACTAAGTTACGCGGGAAAGTGCAGAACCATTTTTCTGCGTCAACAAAAGGGATACATAAACGATTAAATGACAAATAAAAATAATAGAATAGAAAGTTTAATGGAAGAAATCCACAAAATTAAACAACTTAAAATGGTTAGAAATTTCTCATTGATTTTACTAGCCACAAAGAAAAATCTGTAGTGACGTCCAGTAAGATAAAATGCACCAAAAATTGAGCTTTGCACCAATAGGAACGAAAATTTCCAGAATTGAAGAAGACATGTGAAACTATAATGTGTCAAAATTTCGAAGAATTCTGAGTACAAATGACATTTCAAATGCTCAAGGCAAATAAGCTAAACTGCTGGATTTTGAAAATTTCTGCTGTATAATTTATGCTATGAAAACATATTTGAAACCATAAGATTTAAAGTCTGTTTTTGTCTCAAAACATGCTGGAAGGGATTTGGTAGCACACCTGGCTTGGCTAATCAGTAACATATCAATATCACAACACTATACCGTCCACACATAGAGCCTTACCCGTGAAAATTGGGTCATTGTGCCCGTACCATTTCAGAATTTACGGGTCATTGTTGGTGATGAGAAATTAGACTATTGGAAACTGTTTCGTCATCTTATTGTGTCATACAATATCAATGAATATGATGCTTGAAGAAAGTACTAAAATTTCAATAACTCAATTAAATGATAAAATGATATCAATTCAAGTGATTTTTTTTGTAAATATGATCTTTGAATGATTTCATTTTGCGTTGTAAACATAGTAAAGACAACATGCGCATGTCTCATTGACGACGTTCATCTGCGTGTTGTTGTTTACATTTAACAACCCTCTTTGCATGTCTCTCCAAAAAATAAAAAACACTCTTTGCATGTCTCTAAAAAAAAATTAAAAATAACTACACTCTACCAATATTGAACCAAAACCGAGTACTGCATAATGAGAAGAGAGTTGATCAAATGCAGAAACTGAAATTTTGGAAAATAAATTCTAAGAAAGAAGAAAATATCCATATTTGTAAAGTCCATAATGGCAAATTTGTTAAAAAAGAAGATGCTTGCGCTTGTGAACACAGGTGCACAAGAAATGAAACCCTTAAAATAAATATAAATGATAAAAGAAACTTAACACTTACGGCAGCAACAGTGATGCCCAAGTATTCCATTATTCCGGATTCTTCAGCTGCGGTGGGTAGTTTGTTTTATTGGGAATGAATGTGAGTAAATTAAATCTGGTAAAAAAAAAAGTGATTAAATTAAATTATTATCAAATTACTAAATGCCCTTTGTCATTGTGTTTTCAGTGCCAAAATCACTTATTTTCATATTTTTATCTTTCCGTTTGATAAAATTAGAAAACTCTGATTTTCCTAGGACCCCGTCTTTTTCAACAAAAATGTATATGTTTCCCTTTTTTTTAAAATTTTATATATAAGTGATAGTTTAAAATACTTGAATTAATTTAAAATTTATCTAATCTATCCGGGGAACGTCTGCCGCCTATGACCTTGTTAAGTGAGATAAAAGATTTAAAACTTAGGCTAATTTAGTAATTTAACTTACTACTCACAAAACCTAATTAATCTTCCTCAACTATTTACCTACTTGTTCTATTTTAACTTCTATTTGTAGCTTCAATCACACATGCTTAAGCCAAAACAATAAAATTAAAAGAGAACTGATCTTCTTATAGAATTAACCCAACTTTTTTTTTGTGGGAATCAACCATTAAGCAAGCTGCACTCTGTTTTACTTGTTTGTCCTTTCAATGTGCTTTGCTGCATCAAATTGTTAATAATGATAATAAATAAAATGATTAAATGTTCCTTTTAGAAAAGAATTAGGAGACTATCTGTCAACCATTAGACTTAAAAATATGATTCTGGTTCTGAAAAAAATTATACAATTACAAATGCTTTTTGAACTCTTTACTTGTCTTGTACTTAGCTGTTGCTTATTCCTATTAATACACCCTCCATCCACCCTCTGTCTTCTCCCTGTATCTCTCTTTCCTAAAGGTTACCAGTCATTCTTCCTTATCATACCATCTCCAGCAGCCAGCTTGTAGAGAAGGTTCATTTGATTTTTGTACAAGTACAATTCACAATAATGAACCTTGTGTACAAATTGGCTGCTGGGATGGTATGAACCTCACACTTCTGATTACTTAATACAATTCACAATAATGAACCTTGAGTAAATGATTCCCTCTGTTAATCTCTCTCCTTGTTTTTGGTTTTGCCCCTTCTTTCTTTTACTGTTATCCTCCTCATCCTCTGTGGTGATTTTGCCTCACCCTCTGTGGTGGTTTTGCTTGGGATTTATGCTCATTTCTAGAGGTTCTTCGTCTATTGGTGTCTATTATCGCCACCTCTCTGCCACAGACCTCCGCTCCTCGTGTTCACGGATGCCTTCTCCGCCATTCTTACTTGGCGGCGCGTTCGGGTATGAGTATCGGTGTTTTCAAAAGCATGCCTAAGCGCGCGTTGGAGCGAAATCTCCTTAGGTGTACAAATGTTTAGCTTGTTGCACGCTTAGCGTGGCGAGGCGTGGAAGGCGCGAAGAAGCGCCGCTGTCTGCAAGCCAAAGCGCGAGGAAGAAGACGACCTCGCTTGAATTTTTCTGTTTGTTTTAATATGACGTGGTTTCATCTAGTTACCTAAGTGTTTTTTTTCAAACTGAGGTGTTTTAAAACGCAAGTTTTGGGTTTTTTTACTTTTATGTTTGTTTTTATACACACACACGCCCCCCATCTCCCCCCACCCCCCACCGAAAAACTGAAACGCTGCTTTGCTCTGGATGGTGCGGCTGCAACTTGTTTTTAATTTCGGTTGTTTTGGTTTGAAACTTTGTATGTGGGCCTTGCTTGTATTAAAATTCTCTTTTGTAATCTTTTGGGCCTATGTCTTATGCTTCTACTACCCATGTTATTTGTCTTAAAATTCTTACAAAATGTGTTTGCATATTTAATGAAGGGAGTTTGCCTTGACCCCCAAAAGAAAAAGAAAAAAAAAGGTCTTGGATATATTGGAATGGTGTTGAATTTGAAAATGATCAATTTTGGGTTCTTGTCTTTCTACATGTCAGTTTAAATATTTGCAGTTAGCAGGGAGGTTTTCTTTGGGATATATAATAGGCTAGTGCTGAAGTTGGCTCTTTTATTCGTAATATATAGCTCTTTTGTTATCTCCTAATATTTTAAGAAAATATAATACTAATCTTATCATATTTTTGTACCACAATTTATACCACATAATGTAGCAGCTGATATGTACATACCACATCATATAAAATACTAGTTTCTATTTTTCTAATTTTATTTATTAAAATACACTTCATTGATTTAATTGATGTGCTTACCGATATTGTGCTATGGTGTTGTGTGATTCATTACTTGCAAAACATTTAGTAGCTTTTCCTAGTAGTTGGTATATTAGTAGTATTGAATTATTCCAAGTATTGGAGTTGTAGTGAAATTAGTAAGTATATTAGTAGTATGTAATTATATAGGTAAATAATTTTAAAGTTTCCGTGCTATAGTAAAATAATTATTTATAAAATCTAGGTAAACTAAGTAAATTAGGTCAAAACATGGTAGGTTTATGTCTCGAATATAGGAGTTACATGGACTTTTCTTCATGTGACACAAATTTACAACATCTCCAATAATTAAGCACCTATTATTTATTTCAGGGGTTCGTTGTCACAAAACTTATACATTGAGAGTATGTCTTTAACATCACCAACATATGCAGTTACTATGTTAAATATGGTGCCGACCATGACCTTTATCCTAGCGGTAATTTTCAGATAATATCCTAGCAAAGCTCTTTTTATATATAATCTGTATAATGTTTAACTAATTTCCATTAATTTAATTTTAAATTTCAGGATAGAGAAATTGTCTCTACAAACTACTCCCAGTAAAGGTAAAATTATTGGAATAGTTATGGGCATAGGAAGAGCTATGGTGTTCAGTTTCTGCAGAGGCAAAGAGATCAACATGTGGTCAACGCATATTGATCTTCTCCATACTCATGGGGAGCCACACAAGGCATCACACAAAAGTCCCCGAAGTCTTTTATGGGGTGCATGCTATCATTGGGTGGTTGCTTCTCGTATGGATTATGGTTTATAGTTTAAGTTCGGTTTCTTTATTTCCTTTGTTTTCGTATAGCTGTTTTTTCTTGTTATTTATGTATTTCATTTTATTAATGCAGGAAAATCAGATTAAGAATTTCCCCTATCCTTACTCCAGCACAACTCTAATGTCCCTGATGGCATACTGGATGCAATGGAAGTTGGTACTTACGGCTTCATGTTCGGTGATAATTTTTTTTATATTAATGCCGAAAAGTTTTCTTTGAATATAATAATGTCATTATTAATTAAAAGTGTTGTACAATTTATGATCTCAGGACTTGCTGTGACCCTAATGAGATGGGGTATAAAGAAGGAAGGGCAAAACAATGGCATGGTGGATTAAGAAAATAATAGATAAGTCATACCTTCCCATATGTAACTTCTTATCAAGGAGGAAACAGCCTGCAAGTGCAAACATCACAAGCAGCACAGGCTGAAAAACCGAAGCAAAGAATGGCCCTTCCTTCTTTACACCCCATGTCATTAGGATCAGAGCAAGTCCTGAGATCAAGATTCCCTAAACGAAATTCAAATAGGAATATAGAAACTCATATCTGGTTCCAACCAAATTCAGGTATTTTTGGAAAATTGCACAACACTTTTAATTAATAGTGACATTATTATATTCAAAGTAAACTTTTCGGCACTAATATATATATATATATAAATTATCACCGAATATGAAGCCGTAAGTACCAACTTCCATTGCTTCCAGTCCCTCTCCACGCAGTAGGCTAAAACTACAGATTGAATTGACGCCATCAGGGGGGACATTAGAGCTGTGCTTGAATAAGGATAGGAGAAATTCTTAATATGATTTTACTGCATTGATAAAATGAAATACATAAATAACAAGAAAAAACAGCTAATACAAAAACAAAGGAAATAAAGAAACCTAACCTGAACTATAAACCATAATGCATACGAGACGCAACCACCCAATGATAGCATGCATCCCCACAAAAGACTTGAGGACTTTTGTGTGATGCCTTGTATGGCTCCCCATGAGTATGGAAAAGATCAACATGTGTTGACCACATATTGATCTCTTTGCCTTTGTATGAACTGAACTGAACACCATAGCTCCTCCTATGCCCATAACTATTCCAATAATTTTAACTTTACCGAGAATTATTGATGATGTTTTCCTAAAAAATATGTACCTAACATATAGGTAGTATGATGATAAGGACATCTTATTGCACATTTGTTATCCCTAATCTATATTTGTTAGTGCCTTAGTTTATTTCATTTGAACTAATTAGATTTATTTTCACAAAATGTGAAGTAAATAAAAAGTTTGCCAAAAATTGATTACAAAGCCAAAATTGTCTAAGGTGCAAACTAACTAATATGTTTCCCATGTTGTCTTTGCAGTCATCAAAGAAAAGGAATTGCTCGGGGCCTTAAACCTGAAGAAGCAAAGAAGTCTTTCCGAAGCACTTAATCTGTTTTCAATAGAAATACGATTTTTTGGTGGAATTTATGTTTAAGGCCAATTGGAAAGTGAAGCTAAGAGCTTGAAGATGTCTCTGTAATTTTTATAGAATTTTTAACTTTGACCAAATTATAAATCGAGGGGTATATTCTAAACTACATTAGAGAGGGAGATTTGAACTCAAATACAAGAGACTATGCACACTCCACATATGCAAAAAATGTCATTTATTCAATCTAGCAACACTTCTATTAGCACAGTAATTTCAATAACATGGCATTATTGTAATTTTAATAACGTGGCATCATATATGTGACAGATTTGAAATTGAACACATAATTTATAAACAACTTTTCCTTGTTGTTTTTCTTCCTTTTCTTTACAGCAAATGAGATGTGTGATAGATTTGCTAGTACTGGATTTCATGGCAAATGATATAACGTATCCAGGAGCTCAACATGCCACTAGTGAAGGCCTCTAATACCCTTAGCAATTTCATGGGAATGGCTAGTTTCATGCCACTAATTGGTGCTTTGATTGAAGACAGGTAGTGATTTTCACACTCCATGTTTAGCTTATCACCCTCCCTTTGTGATTCTATAAAAATTATATGACACAATTTGGAATGCGCCTGAAACTAAATTGGGAGTGTGAAAATCACTACCCTTAAAAACATGCTAGGGTACTATACTAACCACAATATCAACACTAGTCCCATCTTTTCGCCCTCCGCCATATCCAACACAAGTGAATTGCAAGGAAGCATCAACTTCACAGCTATGGATCCTCTACGTCTCTTTATTCCTTACATCACTTGGTTCGGGCGGCTTCGCTGCTAACCAATTTGACACATGTCCAAATATAAAAGTTTTCATGCTCAATAAATTTGGAATTTCTTCAATTGGTACTATTTTAGCATCGTAATAGCTACCCTAACAGCTTTAATTATTGTGGTTTACATTCAAGAGCATGTGCGATTGGGATGGGGTCTTGGCATCCCTACTATTTCCATGGCTCTATCGGTTGTGGCTTTTGTGATAGGTTCTCCACTTCATATAAAATTAAAATCAGGGGGCAGTCCATTGGTTAGATTGGCTCAAGTAATTGTTGCTGCTTTTAAGAAGAGGAATGCACAATTGCTAAAGGATGATCAAACTATTAGTCACATAATTTGAATAAAAAAGCTTTAGCAAAGTCCCTTGGTTCTCAACCCCCTACCCTCTAATCATCTAAAACATGCAAATTTACCCCAAGCACTAAATTTATCATATTTTCTATTAATTTTTTCCACTTTAATGGATGAAAATAATCTTAATTTGACGGAAAATTTTATAGATTTGACAGTATGGGGAAAATTGGCACATTTTAAGGGATTAGAAGAGCTTTTGAATCAAATTGAAAGTTAAGGGGTTTAATCAAAAGAAGGTGTTAGCTAGGTTCAAGGGCACTGTTAAATTCGCCCAAAATTTAACAAAACTTAGTGACTAGCCAGTATTGTTGTTTTCTTATCAAGACTTAAGGCACAAACTCACAATCTTTTGTATAACATGGGTTGCGTCTATCTTCCCCTAAGATGAAAAAATAATATAAAATAAAAGGTGAAATCTCAAGACTAGAATTGTAGTAAATATATAAGGCTTTAAAAATAAAAAATAAAAAAATTCACAAATGGTCCGTGAGAGGTTTGGAATATGATCACATTCGGTCGTTTATATTTTTTGTGTGACATGGTTGGTCCTTGACGTTAATAAGTGTACATCAAATTGGTCCATGTTGTGAGATTCTGTAAAAAAATTCCGTTAAATTGCTAATGTGGCGTATATGTGGAGCTCACACATCCAATGATATAAAGTCATGCGCCCTTAAATAAAAAAGATAATATATTTTGAAACTTAAAATCCATAAATAAATAAATAAAAATTAATTTGAGAAAATCATTATAAAAAAAAAGAAAAAAAAAGGAGAGTAATAACCAGCGGGAGAGGGAGAGGGAAAGGGAGAGAGAGGAAGAGGGGGGAAGCGAGAGAAGCAGAGAGTGGGCTGTGGAGGGGGGCTTGGCTAAGGCTTAGAGGTGTGGGGGTGCGGCTGGGGGGTGGGTTGTGGGTGGTGGAGAAATAGAAGAGAGGGAGTGGGAGAACACATAGGGGAGAGAGAGAGTAGAGAGGGAGAAAGGGTAGTGTTAAGAATGAATAATGCTACTCTTACCACATCTTTATACCATCTTATGTGGCAGTTGAGGTGGACAACCACATCAATTAAAATTATTGAATATTTTCTTTTCTTTTATAATTTATTCCAATATTTATTTTTCTAATTGCCTTAATTAAAATACGCTTCATTGATTTAATTGATGTGGCATATAATATGGATATGCCACATCATATGGTATAGAAATGTGAGATAAAAATGTGGTAAGTGTAGCATTACTCATTAAGAATATATTGTAATTAATGTATAATATTGTATTTATCTAAACTAGAAAAGCTATTCCGTGTATTGTGGATCACGGCTTTATAGGATTAGAATCATGGTTTGACTTTACCACTTGTATCTGTATATATATGGGCTACATAGCCTCTGTTTAATACACAGAAAGCATTCAGCCATATTATTATTTCATATATTCTTCCATATATCAATCCCAGGAACTACCTAGCTCTTTCTTATTTTGGTATCATTACAGACTCTTCAATCCACTTCATCAAACCCTAGAAAAATACAAAAATCATGACAGACAATCAAACATCCAATCCCAACACAAACACCATGACAGACAAACAAACATCCAATCCCAACATAAACAATTCCAGCAACCCTGGTATGGAATTATCAAATCCATACTATGTTCATCCTTCAAATCACCCTGGCCATGTGCTTGTTTCTCAAAAACTGAATGGCGCTAGTTATTCCTCCTGGAGCAAGTCTATGCTTCATGCCCTATGAGCCAAAAATAAAATTGGGTTCATTGATGGATCCATCAACCTTCGGAAGATGAAAAGCTAGGTGACTATGCCCTATGGGCACAATGCGACAGCATGATACTATCATGGATTTCAAATTTGGTAGAGTCTCATCTCTCTAAAGGAGTTGTCCATGCCCAATTTGCATACAAGATTTGGGAGGATTTCAAGCATCAATTCTCACAGCAAAACACACCAACAATTTACCAAATCCAGAAACAAAAATAGATTGCTTCTCTATCCAAAGGCTCTATGACGGTCTCAACGTACTTTACAGAACTCAAGCATCTCTGGACTCAACTCGATGCATATGAAGATCCCATCATCTGCAACCTGATGGATAAGCATCATGAGTAGTAAGAAAAATAACGACTTATGCAATTTCTTATGGGTCTCAACAATGTTCATGACACCGTTCGCACCATGATGACATCATTGCCCAATATTCATCAAGCTTATTCATTCGTTAGCAACCATGAGCAACAACACCAATTGTCATCGGAACAATGCCAACAATTGCCGTATGAAAATTTTTTTCTTGCTGCCACGACACAAACTCTTTCCGACAGTACTGCGATCATTGCAATCGCCAGGGACACACCATCGACAATTGCCGCACTCTCAAATACCATTGTAACTTTTGTGACAAAAGAAGACATATAGATAATAGGTACAAAATTAAGAACATGGGTCCCCAATTCCAATGGAGGCCATGGCAACAAAAGTGGTAGAAAGAAACGACCTCAAGAGGGTTCTTTTTCCCGTCCTGCTGCCCATGCAACGGAAACAACTCCAGGCCCTCAAGGGTCATCCATGCCACAACCAACACATCTTCCTACATCTTCCAATCCGTTGAGTGCACTCTCTGCAGATCAAATTCAACAGTTAACTCATGCTCTCTCTTTACTTTCTTCTGGTAATGGGAATGTGGAAGGAGCATAAAAATAATTCGAACTTGCAGAATTTGCATAAGTGTTCCTATTACTAGAAAAAAGCAAAGAGAATGAGTTAACTGTTGAATTTGATCTACAGAGAATGCACTCAACGGATTGGAAGATGTAGGAGGATGTGTTGGCTGTGGCATTGATGACCCTTGTTGGCATGGAGTTGTTTCCATAGCATGGGCAGTAGGACGGGAAGTTCCATTGCATGGGCAGCAGGACGGGAAGTTCCACTGCATGAGCAGTAGGACGAGAAGAAGAGCCCCCTTGAGGTCATTATTTTCAACCAGTTTTGTTGCCATGGCCTCCATTAGGATTGGGGGACCTATGTTCCATTCTTAATTTTGCACCTATCCTTTATATGCCCTCTTTTGTCACAAAAGTTACAATGTTATTTGAGAGTGCTGTAATTGTCGATGGTGTGTCCCTGGCGGTTGCAATGATCGCAGTGTTGGTTAGAGAGGGTTTGTGTCGTGGCAGCAAGAGAAAAATTGTCTGATGGCAATTGTTGGCGTTGTTTCGACGACAACTAGAGTTGTTGCTCATGATTGCCGACGAATGAATAAGCTTGATGAATATTGGGCAATGGTGTCATCACGAGAATATTGGTGCGAACGGTGTCATGAACATCGTTGAGGCCTATAAGAAATTGCAAAAGTCGATATTTTTCTTGCTGCTCATGATGCTTATGCATCATGTTGTAGATGATGGGATCTTCATATGCATCGAGTTGAGTCCAAAGATGCTTGAGTTCTGTAAAGTACACTGAGACCGTCATGGAGCCTTGGGATAGAGAAGCAATCTGTTTCTGGATTTGGTAAATTGTTGGTGTGTTTTGCTATGAGAATTGATGCTTGAAATCCTCCCAAATCTTGTATGCAAATTGAGCATGGACAACTCCTTTAGAGAGATGAGACTCTACCGAATTCAAAATCCATGATAATATCATTTTGTTGCATTCACTACTACAAAACAACCCTTGCGCGACCAAATTTTGCGCGACGAATAATTTTTCGTCACGCAAAGACACTTTGCGCGACGAAACTCAAACCTCTGTCGCTAAAAACCTTGCGCGACCAACTTTTGCGCGACGAATTTTTTTTCGTCGCTTAAAGCGACTTTGCGCGACCAACTTTTGCGCGACGACAATACGTCGTCGCTCAAAGTCTTGCGCGACCAAATTTTGCGCGACGAAAAAAAATTCGTCGCTCTAAGTAACTTTGCGCGACGAAAAACAGTTCGTCGCGCAAAGCGACTTTGCGCGACGAAAAACAATTCGTCACGCAAAGCTACTTTGCGCGACGAAACAATTAACTTCGTCTCGCAAAGTCCTTATAAAAATAAATAAAATAAAATATTTTTTAAAATATTTGTTAGAAAAATATATTATTGTTTTTTGGATTGGGTTTTTATTAGAAAATATATTTTTTAAATTGACGATCGAATTAGTTCATTGTATTCATATAGGGTCAAAGAGTGTAGCTATAAAAAAATCATCAAAATCGGAGTTAAAATAACCGTTAAATCGTGATTTTTCATTTATAACCGTCGAAAAGTTTTGTCCAATTACTTGATCTCTGAATGTTTATTTCTTCCGATTTTTAGCGTATATGATCTCGAAGTATAAACAAACAAGTTTGACGGTTGGATCGTTCAAACTAGTTTCATAGAATGCGTATGCCATCAAAACAATATATTCACTAACAATTAAGAGTTTATTTATACTTTTGTTAAATATAACATAAGATTTTGTGGTATCCACTAGTGTAAATATTTTAAATTGAAGATCAAATTCAGTCATTGTATTCATATAGGGTAAAGGAGTGTAGCGGTAAAAAATCATCAAAATCGGAGTTAAAATAACCGTTGAATCATGATTTTTAATTTATAACCGTCGAAAAGTTTTGTCCCGTTACTTGATCTCTGAATGTTTATTTTTTGCGATTTTTGGCGTATATGATCTCGAAGTATAAACAAACAAGTTTGACGGTTGGATCGTTCAAACTAGTTTCATAGAACGTGTATGCCATCAAAACAATATATTCACTAACAATTAAGAGTTTATTTATACTTTTGTTAAATATAACATAAGATTTTGTGGTATCCACTAGTGTAAATATTTTAAATTGAAGATCAAATTCAGTCATTGTATTCATATAGGGTAAAGGAGTGTAGCGGTAAAAAATCATCAAAATCGGAGTTAAAATAACCGTTGAATCAAGATTTTTCATTTATAACCGTCGAAAAGTTTTGTCCCGTTACTTGATCTCTGAATGTTTATTTTTTGCGATTTTTGGCGTATATGATCTCGAAGTATAAACAAATAAGTTTGACGGTTGGATCGTTGAAACTTGTTTTTTTGAATGCGTATGCCATCAAAACAATATATTCACTAACAATTAAGAGTTTATTTATACTTTTGTTAAGTATAACATAAGATTTTGTGGTATCCACTAGTGTAAATATTTTAAATTGACGATCGAATTAGTTCATTGTATTCATATAAGGTCAAGGAGTGTAGCTGTAAAAAATCATCAAAATCGGAGTTAAAATAATCGTTAAATCGTGATTTTTCATTAAGAACCGTTGAAATTTTTTGTCCCGTTACTAGGTCTCCGAATGTTTGTTTTTTTACAATTTTTGGGGTATACGATCTTGAAGTATATACAAACAAGTTTGACGGTTGGATCGTTGAATGGTGTGTGTGTATATATATATATATTTACTTATTAAGTAGCTTTAAATTTATTTATTTTGTACGTATAACACTTAAGAAATTGGTATATACATTTATTAAGTAGCTTTAACCTTATTTATATTTTAAATCGTAAAAAAAAATAAATTTATTATTCATAACAATTATTTTTATAAATATCGTGCTATGAACCAATTTTTCGTCTCTCAAAAGTTTGCGCGACCAACAATTCGTCGCGCAAAACTTTAAAAATTTGGGTGAGTACCAAAAATGGGACGCGGAAGAAAAAAAAAAAAAAAAATAAATAAATTTAGACTTTGCGCGACCAATATATATTTTCGTCGCGCAAAAATTTGGCGGGTACCAAAAATGGGACGCGGGAATTTTTTTAGACTTTGCGCGACCAATATATATTTTTCGTCGCGCAAAAATTTCAAAATTTGGGCGGGTACCAAAAATGGGACGCGGGATTTTTTTTTTTTTTTTTTTTTATACTAATATTCGTCGACTTTGCGCGACCAATATATTTTTCGTCGCGCAAAGCTTTGCGCGACCAATACTCCAATATTTTTCGTCGCGCAAAGCTTTGCGCGACCAACAATGTCGTTCGTCGCGCAAAGTGATACGGTTTTTAAAATAAAAATAACTCCTCCATCATTTTCTCAATGTCTTTCTCTACTCTTTCCTCTCCTCTCTCTTTCCCTCTCCCCAAATCTCACCATTTCTCTCACTCTCACTCCTCTCACTTAATCTCTCATCATCTCTCTCTTCACTATCTCTTACTCTCACTCACTCTCTCATCTCTCTTTTCACTATCTCTCACTCTCACTCACTCTCTCATCTCTCTATCACTATCTTCTCTAATTCTCTCACACTCATTTCTCTCTCTCATTCTCACTCACTCTCAATCTTGCCAAAAGGTAGATTCTCTCCAAATTTTAATTTTTTTTTCATTAATATGTGTTTTTGGAGTTAGTTTTGAGTTTGTGTGGGGTTTGGGGTTGAGTAAAGGGGAGGGATTGGAGTTTGGGTTGGATTTGTGGTATAACAATTTTAGGGGAGATTATCCCTTTTTATTTATTTATTGTACTTTGTTAATTTATGTGTACATTTTGAATATTATATATATATTTATTGGATAATTTGATCACTATTTTTCATATGTAATTTTATTTTGAATATGTCAATTTAAATTAAAGTAATTAAATTAAATTTAAAAAGTAAACATTTGAATAAATTAATATAATTAAATTAATATCAATTTAAATTAAAGTAACGAAAAAAATCATACAATTAAATTTAATTTAAAAATTAAAAATTCGAAATAATTAATATAATTAAATTAATATTAAAGAAATAATAAAACAAAAAGTCAAAAACCAAAATATTTCGTCGCGCAAATATTTGCGCGACATTAATATTCGTCGCGCAAAACTCTAAAAATTTGGGCGGGTACTAAAAATGGGACGAGGGAATTTTTTTTTAAAAAAATTTTAAAATTTTTTCGTCGCGCAAAACTTTGCGCGACCAATATTTTTCGTCGCGCAAAGTGGCTTTGCGGGACAAATATTTTTTCGTCGCGCAAAGTCGCTTTGCACGACCAATATTTTCGTCGCGCAAAGTTACTTTGCGCGACCAATATGTTTCGTCGCGCAAAGTGACTTTGCGCGACCAATATTTTTTCGTCGCGCAAAGTCTCTTTGCGCGACGAATGAAAAAATTTCGTCGCGCAAAGTCTTTCTCCACGATCTTTGCGCGACGGAATCTGCGCGACGAAGTTTCTGTCGCGCTAAAATTTGTGCGACTATAATGTATTTTGCGCGACGAAATTTTCTTCGTCGCGCAAAGTGAAAAATGTAGTAGTGATTATGCCCATAGGGCATAGTCACCTGGCTTTTCATCTTCCGAAAGGGGTTTGATGGATCCATCAATGAACCCAATTTTATTTTTGGCTCGTAGGGCATGAAGCATAGACTTGCTCCAGGGGGAATAATTAGTGCCATTCAATTTTTGAGAAACAAGCACATGGCCAGGGTGATCTGAAGGATGAACATAGTATGGATTTGATAATTCCATACCAGGGTTGTTGGAATTGTTTGTGTTGGGATTAGATGTTTTTTTGTCTGTCATGGTGTTTGTATTTTGCTAGGGTTTGATGAAGTGGATCGAAGAGCCTGTAAAGATACCAAAAACTGAGACACAAAATAAGATGCATGGTGGAGAGAGAGTAGAGAGGTAGAGAGGGAAGATGAGAGAGAGAAATATATTTATTTAAAACCACATGGCTCTATATCATTGGATGTGTGGACTTCACATATGTGTCACATCATCAATTTAACGAAATTTTGATAGAATGACTAATGTCATGTACGCGTGGTAACGTTAAGGACCGCCATGTCACAAAAAAAAATAAAGGACTGAAGGTGATAATTTTGTGAACCTCAAGACCATTTGTGATAAATATAATAAATAAAAAACCCCAATATGTAAATATTGTATTATCATATTCTAGTACAACACATAAACAGTCATGATATTTGACAAGTGTTCAGTTATGTTCAATGTACCTGTTCTGAAACTAGAACCTATATCTTATTATAGCTAGTGCCAACCACATAAATAGTCAAAGATTGACCACCATAAAATCATCATGATATACCATGCACTATTTTTTCTAGATTTCTAAGGCCTAATTAAAAAATTTATAACTAAGGGACCATTTGGTATCCTACTCAAAAACTATGATTCTTTTTTAAAATATGAGTTTTCAAATTTTAATTTTAAGATTTAAAAACTTGTTTGGTATTGAACTCCAAACTATTTTTAAGATCTTAAAAAATAAATAAATAAACTAGATTCCCAAATTGAAATTAACAAAAAGATGCAAGAAAATAGTCAATGAAATCCTACTAGAGTAGACATAAGTGTGTTAAAGAGTTGGGATAGCAAACAAGTTTTCAAACTCAAAAACAAAATTTAAGTCTGAAATTAAAAAACCTAGTATCAACCATATGGACAATTGCACTTGATACCAGCATGCACCGTTGAGTTCTTAGTGTTTAACTTGTCAAACAAGCACCAAAATCTTATCAGAGCTCTTGTTTGAAATGCATTCTTATATGCAATGAGCATGTGCTGGGTGTGCCACATGTCTTATCCCTAATAACTTTTATCAGTGTGTAATGACGTTAAATATTGCATAAGCTACACAATCTTTTTCAATTTATTAGTCTTTTACAGTGCTAATAGCGGCACGCTCGCATACAAGATAATCTTCTAGTCTATAACCGAGGCTGGACTATTTTGGATAAACAAGAATAAAGACACAATGAACTTTCATATCCATACATTATGTCCTCCGAGTTCAAAGCGTGTTGGTGGGAAGTTTTGACATCATTTTCAGTCCAACTCTGTTCGCAGTTTGGTCTTCATTTAACGATTTCACCGTTGGTCAAAAGTCAAAACTGTTTCAAAATGTTTGTATGATTTTGATGAAAGCTTCTTTTTTAATTGGATTGGATGTAAACAATAAGAATAAGAATAAAAAACAAGTCCCATTCAACCTGATCTCACGCCTGTGGGTCCCGCCAACACCCCCTCCACTGACGCCACGTGGCGCGAATATCCGCTTCGACGAGTCTATTTCCCCAAGCAACAATTAAAAAAAAATTAAAAGAAAAAAAAAGGACAAATTAATTAAAAGCTTTTGGGGCCGAGGAGTTCCACCATTAAAAGCAGAGAGCTTCGTCACCTTACTTTGCTCAGCTTTTATCTCTGGTCAGGCTCTCGAGCTTTTCTTCTTCTTCTTCTTCTTCTTCTCTGTAAAGGCTCTGAGACTTTTCCCAAAAGCTCGATCGAATTCAGGTTAGATCAACTACAAAACCAGCTTGTTGCAAGAGATTCCTTTTAGTTTATTTATGTTTAGTATTTTGATTTCGAATTTGGGATTGTAATTGTGTTGCATGTGTGTGATTACCTATATGTATCTCTGTGGCTCTGTGTTTTTCTGTGATTGAGGTGACTCGTCTAGGGTTTTGGCTTGTCACTTGAGGTGGTGATCATGGAAAATTTGTTTTTTGATTGTGGTCGATTAGTTTGTGTAAATTGATCAAACTTTTTCTGACCTGAAAAATTGATCAAACCCTAACATAATGCTCTGTTTGGCTGAACAGAAAATCACTCTGAGTTTCTCTCTGGCTCCAAGTAGCGGGAAATTTCGAGAATTTAAAACCCAAAATACCATATGATATATTATCTCTTCTTTTGGTCACTAAATAGATATTTTCGTTTCTGTGATTGGAATCCGGTATTTATTTTTATCCTGTATAAACTATTCTATACATGCATGTGGTTGCTATGTGAGTTTCCACAGCACTCATGCGAAAGGAGAAAGCAATCAAATCCCAGTATTTAGTGGTCTTTCTTTGGTATCGCACGCAGTTATTGATGTGTTGAGGCGTGTAAGGGAAGAATTTAATTAGTGCAGTGGGGAAGTTTCTTTTTTATCCTTTGATTGCGGTGATTTTTGGGAAGGCAGTAGAAATAGAGTGGTAATTTACGCCCTGTATCTTGTGTTTGAATGTCAATTCATCAAGATTATGACATTTTGATTTGGGTGGTGAGGAATGTAGTGCATTCTTTGATTAATATACCTTTTGGAGGCAAACGTTTTATTCCTGATCTGATTACACATGAATGCTTTGATCCACTCAGTGAAGTACTAGTTAGGGATTGGGTTTACAGACAATTTAATGCCTAAATTTTATCATCACTTGACTCAGATCATTTTTGGTTTTAAATGTCAAAGGCGATGTTCCTTGCCATATTAAAGTTATTTGTTAAATACTTCTCTGAAATTTCTTTACGTGCACTGTACAGGCTGTGTAAATTTGCACACACTGTCCCTTTGAACATATTATACAGCATTTGATGGCTTGGTCCTTTGTTTTATTTTTTGTCGAAGCTCATATTTTTTTAACCTTTTTCCAACCAATTAATTGAAAGAGCTAATTCAGGTATGAATTTCTTGTCTTTTCCCATCAGGTTGTGTACATCTCATTGTTATGTATATGATATTTCTACAGCTGAAGTGAAGCATCCATCACTCTTGAGTTCACTGGGTCCTTTGTAGCATTTATTATAAGGATCATTTATAAGTTGAAAATCAATCAGTGTAGCTTTCTTACACAAGCATCTTCTACTGGAACCTTGGAATATGTCAAGTGGATCCGTTAGACAGGTCTCGCGTCAAGATATACAACTGGTAAGGATTTTGTTGATGGACTATGTCATAGATTATCCAATTATGATTGTATTGTTCTTTAAAAGAAGAAGAAAAAGCTTAAACCATTTACACTGTGCTATAGTAGTGGAATCACAACAACGGGATATTTTCAAATGCAAACTAAAACAGGAAGAAAACGGTAAAGCACCTAATTATAATTTTAATCCATATTTTCTTTTCCTAAGCGCCTGAGTATAATTCATCTTAGTTCTCCTTTCTTCTGTGAAATTATTGATAGAATTTTTAATGCAAGTATTTGACATATTTTTATTCACACAAAGTGCAAAATCCAAGTAAATTTTCATTACTTTTCCATATTTTTTTAATTCCTTATAGAAGCTTAACATATAGAAAGTTAGTCTACTGTCCTCATTGCTATTTTTGGATGATTTCTGTTGATTTTTAGGTGCAGAACCTTATCGAGCGATGTCTCCAGCTTTACATGAACCAGAAAGAAGTGGTAGATACTCTACTGGACCAGGCAAAAATAGAGCCTGGTTTCACGGAACTTGGTAAGCAGATATCCTGTAGTATTCTATGACATGGCTTTCTTTCCTTATGTGTTTTGTAGTTTCTCTCCTTTTTCGTGTTCTTAATCTGAATATTTTTCTTCGTGTTTCTGGCTGTTGTTTGCTGCTACCCCACTTCCCAGTGTTTATATCATTTTGTGCACCCAAGATTACAGGAAGGATAGATTTGCTCCTCCTATGGCCCCTTTGGCATAATTTATTGGGCACCCCACAATAGTTTTTGGGTATTTTCACTATTTGTTTGACTGCTTTTGTACTTCTTGATAGTGGCTTCTGTTGTGAATTGAAAACTTCACCCTCTTGCTTGAGGTGTTTTCTTTTTATTAACAGCGTGGTGCATTTTGACTTTGGAGTCGTGTATCGGTCATAATGATTCCCACAAAGCTGCTGCAACTTTTAGATTAATCTATTGTCATCAAGAAACACATTTGCATCAATTGGTGATGAGAAACCACACCTATCGGCCACAGAATCCGAATTCACTCTGCACTGATTTTGAAATTATCTTCATAGATTTATCTTTCTATTCTGAGCTTTTCCCTGTCCCAGTCAATGAATCTAATGTCTTTGCAGTTATGTGTGAAGGATTATGAAATGTTAATCTCCAATGTCAACTTAAAAGCATGAACTCTTTATGCCCCCAGTCAATAGTTTAAAGGGAATCTTACAGTCATATTTAGTGTTTCCGTATGCTCAGCTTAACACTAAAATCTTGCTGCATTTCCAGTTTGGCAGAAGCTTGAGGAAGAGAATCGGGAATTCTTCAGGGCTTATTATTTAAGACTGATGGTGAAGCACCAAATAATAGAATATAACAGGTTGCTTGAGCAACAGGTGAGGTTAATGAGTCAGTTGCACTCAAGTGGAGTTGCTTCAATACCTAGTACCAATGGTTCTCACATTTCACCAAGTAAGAGTTCTATCCGCTTAGATGTAAATTTTATTATGGCTAAGATATTGGCTTGTTTTTTTGTTGGTGCAAGTTAATCTTTATAGCGTGTGGGTTTTGTTCTATGGAATAATGTCATTATGGTTAGTGCACAGTAAATGGTATGCCTCTTAAAACAAGGGTAAGTTTAGATGGAAAGAAATAAAGTAGTTATGGGCCAACCATTTTCCACCCTTTGTTTTATCATGAGACTGGAGAGAAATGAAGATAAGTATGATCTCACCCTCAACTTCCTGTAATGTCTGTATAGATACAATTTCTCTTTTTTAAGAAAAAAGACTCTTTACTCCATCTAATCACTTGTTTCGTTTCAATTTCTGATTCTTCTTTGTGTCATCCATGCTCTAACTAAGGTATAAAAGTGTAATCACTTGTGAAAAAAGTAATTGTCATATTTTAAAGTTCATAGGTTACTCTACTTTAGATGTTTAGTTTCTTGATGCCATGCATATGATGCATGATGTTTGAACTAGATTTACATTCTTTATGGGTTCTGTGTTTTGCAACAAATTAGGTAGTATATAACTGTCTATGATTCATTCAAATTAGTCCTCTTTTTACCCTGTTCTTTTTTGGTCTATATCACCAGTTGTTAATCTCCCACGTTCAAGCAGCACAGCTTTCATTTTCTTTTGTGTTAAACTGTGTTTTACTTCATCCAAATTATATTTTATAGTTCTGCTTTGTTAGGGAATGGTCAATTCCCATCAGAATAGCAATTGATGTTACTTTTTTTTCACAGTGCACCAAAACTCCACATGCTATGCGCCAGAGCATGTAGGACCAGCATTGAAGACAGAAAATATACACCACCAAGTTGGTTCCTGCGTACCTAATGCATTTACGAATGGTGGGTCTTCATTGCACACTAGTATGCACAATGCTGTTAAAATGTCTGCTCATACCAGTAGGATTGATGTCCCACCAAACATGCTTTCGAATCAGAGCTCCAACATAGGTCTTATGCAAGGAATAAATGGGGGAATTATCAAATCAGAAGTTGGCTATTCGAGCAGTTCTTACATGTTTGGCGGTGATGGAAACATCCTGGAAGCACGGCCCACTATTGGAGATGCTTCTGTTGCAGCATTCAACAGCGTAGAGTCCAACTCACAGCCCCTAAATGAATCACTTCTTGATGCAGACTCTTCATCATTTGGTTTTTTACGTCAGATTCCTCGAATTTTCAGCCTCTCAGACCTGACAGCTGACTTTTCTCAGAGCTCAGGTGCTCTCTCTCTCTCTCTCTCTCTCTCTCTCTCTCTCTCTCAACAGTAAACATGACAAGTCATCGCAGTCATGGTTCTTAATTAATAATTTCTGTTCTACATGTTTTAGACATACTGGAGAGCTATCCTAGATCACCCTTCTTGGCAACAGATAATGATAACTTCCTGGATTCTCGTGAAAGAGAACATCAAGGTGAGGACTTGACATATATGTCATTGTTACAACTTACACTGCAAGGGGGTTACTAACTTTCCCTCACTCTTACAGGAGACAATAACCGGTTGGACACCATTTCAGAAGGCGTAAGCTATGAAGATTTTGGCAGTGAATAGTAATAACATTTCAAAAGTAAGTTATATCTACTGCTATTTTAAGGGTTGTTGGCTACCAGATTTCCAACCATGTAGTCTCGATTTAAATGTGATTCAGCTGCTTCAGACTTGAGCTAAGCTGTTTCTGAGTTTTTTCATCATGGCACTGCATTTCCTCAAGCCTCCTTGTAGTAACGCATGCTGCAGGAAGGATGTCTTATTCATTTTCTTTTTTCAAGATCACTGCTTTGATGCAAAAATTTGTGTGGCACCCCCTTTTCAATGTTATATACCTTTATGGTGGTTATTCTTAGCCTGGTAGGCTTGTTGGTGTTCGCGCATTTTTTCCTTCCCAAGAAGTTTTAACTTCTATCGTATTGTTTACAGTTGGTGCATGAAATTTACAGTTGGATCTCCATTCTGTTGATAAATTAATGCCCTCAGTTTTACTTCCTGATGATGACCATGACGACAATAGCTCCCACTTTTTACTGACATGTGATTAGGGTAAATGACATGTTATTACGTTCTTCTTTCCCATCTCAGATAAGTCTAGTCAGATGCGTCTATTACCATCTTGCACTTCCAATATATTGACCCAGCATTTTCTTGTTTTCTTGAATTCACATTTCAAGAAATGCAAATCATGCCCAAGAATTCAAGCTCAGGTGGCCATTGGGACGGGTGGGGAAAGGGTTTGGTCTTAGGTTCAAGTCATAATGTAATTAACAAAAAGAAATGCAGATTTTGTATGTGAAGGAGAATTTTCTTGCTATGCAGCTCCATACCCAATAACAAAGCTGAGTCAAGTTTTCTTAACGGTTTTTAGTTATGAAATTGGCGTCTTTTTATTATGAAACCTGAGGGGGAAATGCGGGGGAAAAAAAGGCAAAGACAAAAAGAACTCTTTTTAGGCCCCATTTTCATGTTTGCAAGAAAATTCTGTACAGAACTTTGAATTGTTTGTCAAATCCTTTCTTACATGTCCTAACTTTCTTCTTGCCTTGTGTTCAGGTAAAATTTCATGCTAGGACAGAAGGGTTTGTACATACCATTTAAGATTTTGGTTGGTGTGTAAAATTCAGTGATGGTAGTGAGAAAGAGAATGACAGTAGAGTGCTTCTTTACAAGTGGACAGCAAGGTTGAATTGCTTGATGAAATCGTTTTTGTGATCATCGATATGCTGCAGGTTTGATATAGTTGGTTATCTTTGAGGCATATTTATCTTTGAAACAAATGTGGTTTTGATGATGGTGATCTGTGCACAATTCAAAAAAGAAATTGACAGAGAGGAAACTAATGCTTGTGTGTTGATCTTATTATGCTTCAATTAGAATTGTTGACATCTAATGAAGAAATTTAGTTTAAGTTGGTTATGTTTAATTTTATACAAAATTTCAGAAGTGGGGATATAAATTGCAGAACAAGGGCTCATTTCCATTATGTGTGGCAATTAAAGATTTTAGTGTTTGGATTTATGTATGTCGAATTTTGTAAATGGCACTATGGAAATTGTGAAATGACGCCTACTTTGGTGGAAATTAAACTCGGGAATTTGATGCCCCAATTTCTACAATGTTTTCCGCGCGTCGTTTAATAAATTCCGTGCTTAAGTTGCCAAATAAGGGAATTGTCAATTTCTCTTGAATTCTTGACTTTTAGTTAAATTTCGAGTTATTTTCCCTCATCCAAACGGAGGGTAAGGGTTAGAAGCAAATTCAGTTCTCCAAGGAGAAAACTAAGGCCGGTTTTAAGTGCATAGTCCAAAACGGCAATCAGATCATTCACATCCTCAATTCCCACAGAAATTCAGTCCGCCTATTCTGTAGACCACACCATTGCTTGGCTTGTAGACCACACCATTGCTTGGCTTGTAAGCTGTAACACTACCCTCTCCTTTCTTTACCAAGCCAAACAATGGTGTGGTCTACATGATAAGCTGTTTGACGTTCCCTAAAATCAGGCACGCAGAGAACTCCAGTATCATCAATACGACCATGACGCTTTTATTGCAAAGACATGGAGGCCCGGGGATGCAGATAGGAGGGAACATAAGGAACTACTTGATTTGCCTATGCATGTAGAACAAGTAGATGCAAACCCTGACGAACTCTAGAAAGGAAATTCACTTTTTAGAAAGGTAATGGCAGGAATAGTCTCCAACCGTTTCCTTAATTTGAGATTTGCTTGCGGCTGCTCCATTTCAGCTGTTGCATCCTCTTATGGCGTCACCCCCCTTCCTCTAAACTAGCTTAGCAGGTGAAATCACCCTTCCCTACGAGCACATTCATGAAATATAGATTTCGAATTGTGCTCACTGGATTTGATAATAAACAATATATTTGTTTCCAAAAAAGAAATCTCACTAAATAAATAAATCTCTACACCCAGCCACACCCCATTTTGCTTATTGGATTTGAGTTACCAATCTCAAAAGATCTTGACAATTTTGACCTTGTTTTCCATGTTTAAACCCGCAACTATTATGCAACAATTCAAATTTCCGAAATTAAAAACACAGCAAATGACATGGAAGATTGAACATAAAAGGGAAGAGGAAGGGAAAGGAAATATACCGCTTCTTTTTCAGATAACATAAAAATTTCTGTTGAGCAGGAGCACTAACTCCAATTCGTAGTTCTCAAAAATCTTACCAACATATGTACAGAGCCCACATTTTCAAATTTAAATTAAAATGTATTCTCAACTAATAATTTCATAGTCAATTAAGTAAACGGAAAAGTCCTTCCTGTGTTTGGGCACCCCAGAATAAGATTTCCATCTACCAATTGCTCTATAACACTTTCAAAGCAGATGCATTTATGTCAGTCGGATACCCTCAGGCAACTACAGAGGGCCAGTTTTAAGTGCATAGTCCAAATCGGCAATCAGATCATTCACATCCTCGATTCCCACCGAAATACGAATAAGATCTTCAGATAGACCTCTGGCCTCGCGCACTGCAGATGGTATGCTTGCGTGAGACATGAAGCAGGGCAGGCTTATAAGAGACTTCACACTTCCTGTACATAAAAAAATCTTAGGTCAGCTTAATAATAGAATTGTTTTGTGTGATTTTCACTCAACAGAGTTGACACTGAAGATTCACCTACTAATAGACCATGCATAAAAGTAATAATAGTAACAATAATTAAAAAAAAAGCCTAAAAATACATTAAAAATATATATATTAACTGTAGACCATGTCATACAATGTACAGAATGATTCATGAACTGATGAACGCATAACACATGTACTAAATGAGCACATTCTGCTTTCAAAATCAGTTTTAGAGGAAACCTTCTGCCCCTACCTCTCTATTCACAAGACAAAGAAAACACAAATAACCTCTTTTGCCACAGTACTGACTATCTACCACTAAAAAATTTCGGACTTGGGAAAGCTGAAAATTGAGAAGGAATTACCAAAACTGACAGTTATACTGAAGTATTTCGTAGTCTCGACAATATGCTTTGATAATGCCAGTGAACCTGTCAGAAAACTCAATACAGATCCTGCACCCTTTGCCTGAAACAGGTGTATATAAATATCTAGAAGAACAGATTGTGAATAGCATTATGAATCTACAATTCCATTAAGGTCAATACCTGAGAATAATGTAAGGCACGTCCAGGATGATCAGCAAGCCCTGCATAATTAACTTGCGTTACTCGTGGATGGGAAGCAAGAAACTCAGCAATTTTTTGCGCATTGTCCTGCCAAATGTGCAGACACATCAGAATAGTACAACAGATTACGATCAATCATTTGGGGGAAATCAAATCCTACAAATAGAATGCTTTGAGGCAAACCACACCTGTTGCTTCTCAACACGTAAGGCCATTGTCTTAATTCCTCGTAAACAGATCCAACAGTCAAATGGAGCTAACCCAGAGCCTTCTGCATTTTGTAAGAAATATAGCTGCTTTGCCAAGCTGTTAACAGTGAAAACAAGTAGGAAGTTAAGTATAAATACAAGACGTAAAACCAACGGTAAAGATGGAGCAAGAGGCACACCTATCTCCTTTAACAGCTAATACACCTGCCATGACATCACTATGTCCAGCAATAAACTTAGTGGCTGAGTGCATAACAATATCTGAAAGAATGGACTAATATAAATTAGTAAGAACTCAAAAGGATGTGTAGTTTGCAAAAGCTTGGAAGTCCTATTTTTACCTGCTCCTAGATCCAGTGGCTGTGACAATACAGGGGACATTATACTGTTATCCACTAACACAATAGCACCATGTGCATGAGCCATCTCTGCTATTTTCTATCAACGGATAGACATGAAACAAATTTGCCTTTAGAAACTAGCGCTCGTTGTGCTCATCATAATTTTGTTATTGAAAAAAAAAGAAACTAAATAGGAAACTGTACTAAAGGTATTACAAAGATCAAGAAACTTTATGATATCAAGTCAATCACAAAGATCACTAAACATCAAAAAGTGAGTAATAGTGTAATCTACTGCTTTACCTATCAGCAACGTAGCCAAGCATCAATGCAAAACTAATATAGAAAAAGAGTTCGCCACTAACTTATTTTATATTACTTTACATTTGGTTGGTCATGGTGGCCCAAGGGTCTCATTTCAAACTTATATTAAACTCACATGCTATCTTCCTTTAGTCCTTCTTCAAGCATTAAAACCACAATTTTACATAACCCATCTGCTATTTCATCCACCCCTGAAATGCTCTAATGAAACAAATTTACCTTTGTTTTTCACAACATACTTAAATAGGTTGTCCAACTACGAAATGTCTAGCTTTACACATCTCTTCTAACCCCTTAGTCATCAGAGAAGTTAAGGCCTCACTGGTTTCTTTTCAGAAAATATTTTTGTATTCTCAAAATCATGCAAAGCAAAATACACTTCCAAAAGAGTTTGAGAAAACTATGAAAACAACTTTCGTAAAACAAGTTGGAGCACAGGAAACCTCAAAATTGTTTGTGCTCTTTTCAAATAAACAAAACAGGTTTCCAAAACACAGCCAATAGGCCCTACATCGTAGTAGAGGTGCAACAGGCCCTACTAAGACTGAACGCAACCGTGCACTAATTATCATTTTGAACTCGTTGATCCTAGCAGCATACTTGAAGGCCAGAAAAAATAAAAAATAAATAAAATAGGCTCTTGCCCAATTAATCAGTCCAAAAACCTCAAACATTTAGACTTTAGATCTTTGATGACTATTTGCTATCCTGCTGAAAGTTGCGAAATTACAGTCTCCACATCAAGTTATAGTTTGAAGAATTTCAGGATGGTAATCATATCGATAAATTTGGATCCAAATGCATGGAACCTTGGTTTAAAAACACAATGAAAGTTCCAAGTTTTTATACTTATTTCGGTAGTGGGTCAATGAGCAATAGGTCACAAAGGGTAGTAGAGTCAAAGATTGCCAGAAGAAATTAGAAGGCACCATATAAAATTAAATCTTCAATAGCTATTTCTCTATCCTGCATGAATGTTTTTAGATTATATCTCCAACATCATGTTATAGTTTTAAGAATTTTAAGGGATGGACCTAATACTCAAATTAGTAACTACTTGCTTGTCTTGAGTAACTACATGTAATTTGGGTATGAATTTAAGATCCAAATACATGGAGCCTGCCAACCTGAATGTACGAACGCAAAGCAAGTTACAAGTTGTTCTTAAGCTACTTCACTAGTGGGGTCAATGAGCAATAATAAGTACAAAGAGTAGAAGAGTCAGAGTGTCAGAAGAAATTAGAAGAGACCATACTAAATATTTCACCAAGAATTGCGATGAACTGAGAAGCGATCACTAAAACTACTGGGAATAGAAAAACATTATGAAGTTCAAAGGTCATGATTAAACAGTACACAAATTGTGTAACACAATCAGAACAAAACTTTCACTATTATCCTAGGAAAAGGCTATTTAAGCATGCTGACAACATATCAACTTCTAAAACGCTGTTTATAATTTACAGAAACCTTGTTTAGATGCCAAACTATATTGCTTTGCAAGATTTTACAATACAATCTCTGAGAGGACTTCCTAGACTGGCATTAGCGAATGAATGTTCATTCACACCCATCATATCAACAATCAAGCATCAAATATTGGCAGAATAAAACAAAATAATAAATAAAAAGTTATGCATTGCTTATGAGCTTGTCCCTGCTAGAATAGTATAATGCTTGTTTAAAGACATCTTACGCGAATATCAGAAATTATTTGTCGAGGATTGGTGGGACTCTCCAGCCACACAAGCTTCGTCCAGGGGCCAATAGCAGATGCAATTTCATCTAAATCACTTGTGTTCACTCGTCTGAAAGATAAATGCATTATAATTTCAGATTTCAGTTAAATTGAATGAAGATGAGAACAGGAGAGAAGCATACTAACTTCACCACAACTCCAGTCTTTGGAATTACTTGTGACAGTAACCGATCTGAACCACCATACAGGTCGTCTCCGGCAACAATCTCCTCACCTAAAACAACATCATTACCAATTTACAATAAAATTCAGACAACTTCCATGAAGAAATGAAATTCATTTGTGTAGTCTTGTACAAAACTAACCAGCTCAGAGCAAGGACTTAACAGCAAACCATAGTCTATCCCATATGATTAGTATAGAATATACTGCTAAGAATCCATACACTGACACTAATTGCAAGATTAAAATCAGGACTCTCAATCCTGCCTAGCCAGCTCAAAACCAATCAATTGGCCAGAACTTTGGGACACAGCTTTATTTGAGTTCAGAGTGGACGGATTTCAGGATGATCTTGGGCTAGGCCTATATCATCCTGTACAAGGGCTGGTTCAACCTAACTTATATATGTATTATTTTTCATAATTAACAAATACACATATTTAGAGCGGCGGTTAAGTCAATGTTTCTTACTTGCAAGTTGTGAGTTCAAGCCAGTATATTTTTTTTCTTTTTTAAGAAACAACCAAACCTTCTAACCAACTAGGCTGGATCAAGCTTGGGCATAAAACCTTTACCTCTATTAGGCTAACCACACAAAAAAGTGAACATGAGTATAAAGATTTTTTTTTTCCTTTTTTTTTCCCCCCTAATATATGTTTTGTTTCGTTTTCATGTTCGCACTTAACCTTTTGAGAAACCACTCAAATCCTGAATCCTCTGCATATATACATAAGAAAACCCTTTGCATACTTATCAAGTACCCCTCACTTATCCAGGTTGCATCCAATAGTCAAATTTACTAACAAGTCAACTGGATATGGATTTGGAGTATCTGAAACATGTTGAGGCATATTGGGAGCCCATTGACAAAGTAGCGATATCAGATACTACATACTTCATAAATTCCTTCATTATACTTATGTTTATTCACACTCATACTCGAGTATAGAAACTTAACTAATTTATATAATATATAAATGATACTATAATTGAAAAAGTACCTGTCCCTACAAGATGAGCAACAGCAGCCAGAGCAGCCATTCCACTAGTGAAACAAAATGCTCGATCTGCCTTATCAAGCTTTGCCAAAAGGCTGAGAATACAGAAAGAAAAACTCACAATAAAGACATGTTGTGAAAGAAGAAAAAAAGGGTTTTCAAAGCTACTTCAACGGCATACAACCAAATAAAATCTGACCTTTCCAAGGCATCCCGTGTGGGATTTCCACTTCTGGTATAATCATAAGGACCATTTTCTGTTGCTGAAGGCTGCATAACAAAGTAATGAAGACACAATTAATATGAAACTCGGTCACAGAATGTCACCTGACATGGATAGTGTAAGCAAGAGATTTCTCATGCAATCAATATACCGTTGAGCACAGATACAAGCATACATTTGACAGTCACAATTGCATTCCTCTTTCAAATGCAAAGAAGAATGATTAAAAAGGAAAGTATGCCAACATTCACACATATTCACAATGAGTTTCTTGGTTCTGCTTTCTAATACTTGTTTGATAAAGACCTGAGCCCCTAACAGTGAAAGCTCATCAAGGCTTAAATAAAAGTGAGAAAGTTACAGATTCCACAGTTCCACACAACTGCCCCACACAACAATCCTACAATATTACATCGTGTCCCCAAGCAGCATTGAACTTTAAATGATTTTAAATTCCTGGCTATCCCTAACAACTACAACAATACGAATAATCATGACTTCACAAAATTTAGCAAAGAGTCTCTATCTTCTACTCTGTGTGCTACCTGCTTAAAAGTAGCTGTTTGGTAAAGTGGCGTATTCATTGCATTGTAAGGATCAAACTTGTTCTCGAAATTCATCAGAATTGTTGAAATACTAGGCTCTTTCAGCTCAATTTCTGTGTCCAATTCAACAAATTAGCAAGCATGAACTGTTAAGGATAAATCAACAACAAAAGAACAGCTGCACAAACCATTTAAGCAGTCCGCAACACCATCAACCACAGCTGAAGTGCTCACATCCATCTCTCTATCAGCTGAACAATTCACTTTGAATTTATTTCCAGACAACAACAACCTCTTTCCCCTCAGCGTTGTTGCCCTTTTTAACCCAAAACTCACGAGGGAATCCCCAAAGCTTGGTACTAAATTCGCAGGCGATAAACCCTACGAAAATCCACCAATCAGAACTCGAATTCAAACCAATCTTAACCATCCACTACATTGTACATGCAAACTGAGAACATAACAAAAAACTAAAACTATTAACTTTAAAATACAAATCTTGCGGTCCTATGCTATTAGCTTTCTATTACATAGAACAAAGCAGAGCTTCAAAATTATAAAACCTCTCGGTAGTCATACGATGTTCTCAACTATACTAACCCAGCCAGAGTTTCTTTTCCTGCATTTTCTTAGCTTCCAAACAGAAAACATTCAAGTAATATTAGATTTAAAAAGAATGAGATTGGAAAGTCTTACGACGTCTTTGAGATCGGTGGCGAGGGAGCTAAGTAGAGGCCTAAAAGAGAGAGAAGAAGAAGCAGCCATTGTTGTTGAAGAGGCGAAAGCTAGGGTTTTGCTCAGGGCAGTGCTTCTGGTGAGAGGAGCTAGAGTTGGTGGAACTGTTAACAGTTTCCGCCATTGTCAATTACAACTTTCTATATATATATAAGTGCTCTGATTATTACGCGGACTCCGTTTGCAATGCGCTCCTTTTTTTCCTCTTTCAGTGACTGTTTCAGTGCACACGTGTGGAACTAGAACTATTATTTTCTTTTTATTTTGCGATTTATTATTTTTAATAGCTGAACTGAATCGAGGCCAAAATCAAGGGTAAGTTCCTTTTTACATAATTGTATTATATACTCTCTTTTTTCCTTATTTTCTTTTTTGTGTCCAAAAGGGGATTCATATCCTCCGGTTCGTACAATGGAAATGAATTTTTTTTTTTGCCAACAGTGGAAATGAAATAATTATGGCATCTACAATGGTGAGTGTCATTTTTATTTTATTTCAATGAATTGGACTTTTAACTTGTAGTAGTCAAGTTCAGTTCATTTCATAGATCAATATTTCAATTCAGGAATCAATAATTCATTTCACAGGTTAATAAAATGAACTCTAAAATGAAATTCATTTCAATAAGCTCGTCCATCATAATAACTCTACACCTCTCTCTTATTGACACATGGACAACATTAGTTTTTACTTTCGAATTTTTCCATTACATTTAATTAGTGTAAACCAGTCGTAATTTTTTTTTTCCGTTACATTTAATTATTGTAAGATATTAAACTGCACCACAGCAAATAAAACTGCATTTCAATTCAATAGGTGCAAAAAAAGTTCAATAAATTGAACTATTAAACTGAACTATTGAGCAACCATTGCAAATGCTCTTAGAGCATCTCCAATAGTAGTAACAAATTAAACTCTTCGAATTAAAGTTTGTTGATCTATGTGGCAATTTGGAAAGGCTTATTTCCTACTTTAATAATTTATGTCCTAATAAACTATTCAATTTAATTAATGCAATGTTATGAAAAATAATGAAGAATACAAAAACATGTAAAGATTATCAACAATTGAAGATTATCAAACAAACCTCTCACCGCTGGTCTTGAGTTCAAGCTCTTCAACATTATGATTCAACACTCGACAAATGCTCTCAATATGCACCTGACAAACAATTCACACAACCTATGCAACACCAGAATGCACATCACACTATGTTATTACTATATTAGATATAGTAGCATGCTTATACAGAATGCACATCACAATATGTCCTGAGTTTTTCTTAGATATTTGTGTTGACAAATATTGTGGGAATAGCGTACGGAAGAAGTGTTTAAGAATGAATGGTAATGAGGGGATGGATACTTCAAGGTGAGTATGAATACACTGTCTTTCAGACCTTATTTGCTCTCACAACTTGTGTGCAAAGAGGTTAAGCAAATAAGCCATGTGGATATAATGAAGCGTAGCCTAAACTATATGTTGTCAATGTCTTGCACAACCAAAGACAACCCCAAAAACATTTTAGAATTTTAAAAAGGATACTAAAGATTCTTAGTAGCTAAATCTACATAAAATAACCTCTAGGGTTTTACTTTGTGAAACTAGGTGGAGAAAAGTTGGTAGTTTGTATCCTTAATTAACCAACAAAATAGATTGGGGGCCAAATTGACAATTATGACATAGTTAAGGGGGCAAAAAGACATTTTAGCAGGAAAAAAAAACACAACTGGCCGGCCGGCCTAAAAAGCCCACTTAGGCTTGGTCCAATAGGCGGGCTCAGGCTTTCAAACTTTCAACCCACCACCCAACAAAAAAAAAAAAAAAAAAAAAAAAAAAAAAAAAAAAAAAAAAACCTCAACAAGGCTCGACCGACGAACCCAAAAATTTAGGGCTGGCCGATGCCCCCCCACAACATCTATCTCAACAAAGGAAAAGGCATTGGTTTTGTTTGGCTTGGCTTGTTGAAAAATTTTTTTTTTTTTTTTTTTTTTTTTTTTTTCAACACTAAACTTCATTCTAAGCCGAAAAAAGCACGAAACTTATAAAAGGGAAAGTTGTTCAACTGAATACTACCCCAGCAAAGAAAAACCTCCCACTTAGAGCACTTCCACTACAGAGTCCAGCCTAGGCAAAAGCTCCCCCAACGTTGAAGAAACCCACTCCACCGCACAAATCCAACCCGGACAGATGGTGGGCCCCACGAAGATTGGGCAATCTCACATGCAAGAATAGCCCGAGTCGTTGCCTAAGGGCGCTGACGTCAAAAAATTCAGAATCTTTTTTCATACATACCTAGCAATTTTATATTATTATTAATCTCATACATCAAAATAAAATTAATCTCATGTGAATAGTAATTGCCTTTGGATTGCCATGACAATGGGTGGAAAAGCAAAAAAATATTGCTAGGGCAGGCACTATTCATGTGAATAGTGCCTACACTTGCTTGCCCTTTCCCGTTGCCATGGCACCATGGGTGAAAGTGCTCTTAGCCATAAAAAAAAAAATATAAACCAAGCTTTTGGGTTGTTGAATAAATCCACAAAAATTAATTCAATAGCAATTTCCAATTCTTTGTCAAAAATTTAACAATTCCATCATTTTGTTTTAAGTTTCTCAAATGCCGCATTTGAAAATATCATCCAGTTCTGATCCTTTTGTTGACAGGATTTTTTGTATCATATCAGCAACAAATGTTCGTGCTGCCTAGTAGCAAAATCCCAATAGGGGTACTTAGGGCCCGTCCGGTAACGTTTTCGGAGATTGTTTTCTTAGAATATTTTCAAAGAATGAAAACAAGAAAGCAAATTTGCATTTTCAGGAAATGAAAATGCGTCTGGAAGATTAATTAGAAAACATCTTTAGAAAACAAAAACAATAAAAACGTGTCTGGTAATGCAATTTGAAATAATAATATGTGAGTTCTTTTTATGAAAATATTTCCCATGAGAATGAAAACAACTTTTTTCTGTTTTCTATAAGTACACATGAACTTGTTTTCATTTTATGAAAACATTCTCACTGTCTTCTGTTTTTGGGCTACCGAACGTGTTTTTGCCTCATTTTTGTTTTCTGAAAATGAAAACAACCCCTTAAAATGTTACCAAACGGGGCCTTAGAGCCCTTCCATCGATGAGCCCAGCCCGAGGAAAAAAAAAAAAAAAAATTCCAGCGGAGCAGCCCAAGCCCGAGGGGGTGTGGGACCCACCAACCCGGGCTGGCCCAAATTGCCCCCAGTTCCGCCCAAAGGTTCAAACGCGGCGGGGGGGGGGGGGGGGGGGGGGGAGGTGACGTCAGGCTGATGTCGACACGCGGTAAAAAAAATTTGATTACAGCGTGAGCTGACGTCAGCGCGACGCAAGCCCAACGGCTGGAAGACACGTGGCACGCCCCCAGCGCTCCAATTTGATTCCACATCCTTCATCCAACGGCTGGCGATTTTCCAGCAATAAAATTATGAAAAAAAATCGAAATTTTTTAATAAAAAATACTAAAAAATATTAAAAAATTTTGATTTTTTTTCCTATAATGACAAGACCCACCCCGAATTTCCTCGGAATCCGGGACGGACCTCGCCTAATTACCGACATCAACCTAATGCTGGGCCCACTTACTAAAAACTGAGACTTTCTACCAAAAATTTGGCAGAATCTCCCCTGTAAATTGAACATTCCCAAACTTCAACTTGTTCAAAATTTACAGTTAATTACAACCAACTGGCAGCATGCTTTACAAGCAATAAAACAATTTACAACAAAGGCCTCCGGCCTCACAAAATTAAACCCTTAGTGGCGATACAGAGCATATCTAAGGAATTCAAAATACAACCGAAGTACCGTTTAACTGAAAAGAAAAAGCACCAAGAGTTTCTACGAAGACTCGAGTTCCAAGATGCACTCGGTCCGGCTCAACTGCAGAGCTCAGTCGCTACTGGCTGGGGGCGCAAAATAGAAAGTTGTGAGTGGACAAAAAATCAAGTTCAGTTCAAGTGAAATCAAAGTAGTATAACCCCCACCTTTATCAAAAACATGCAATGACACCATAAGCATAACAGAACCATCAGAAACAGTATATATACATATACTAACATATAAATACCGGATCTCAAATCCGTAATCTGTGAATAATGCTTCATGAAATCCACCACTCAACTTAAGAGTCCCGAGAGATTAGACTCTCGTAAACGTACTCAAAAGTACGACCGGCAAGGAAGTATCCTTACCGAAAAAATAGAACGAAGGAACATTCATATAAATAGATATATATATATACATACATAGATATACATATCTAATAATAATAATATGAGATAACATAATCATAATAATAATAATAATAATAATAATATACAAAGATAACCGATATTTAATTGTACCGGGGAAACAATCCAACCGGGGGACTGTTTGACTAGGCCACATGGCAGAGCCATACCTCAATTCACCATGTGTCTAGGGAACGAGCCGTCCAACTGGGGGACTAACTCTCAGCCAGCACATACAGCCGACACAGTCAAAGCTTGTACGCCTGAAATACCAGTCCTACGCGCGCAGACTACCCCAAATCCAGGGTCCACAGCAACATCCCCTCAAGGATGCCCTGAGTTCTCATAACTCCAAAAGTATCCAATGTTCGTAACCAAATTCAGATCAGGGGAGGTACATAACTTAGTGCTTAACGCACTCCAATTAACAGATCCAACATTACCTTTCCATAGTTCATATTAACCACCAAGTACCCCATGCATAGCCGCATGAAAATATAGCTTCTCAAAGTTCAAAATATCAATGTAAGTTTTATGAAAACCTCGAATTCTCATTCGAGCGTATATAAATAATTAATAGACATAATAAAACAATATGCCATATTTCCATGAATAAAATCATACTGAGTTTCAAAAGAAAAGTCCACTCACAAGTAGTCCCACACAGCTTGACCCTTAGAGGGTCCCGCCTGCTGCGTATACTGGGTCGGAGTACCTGATTCAGAATACGAAAATGCGATGAATATCAAGCACTTCAAAACAGAACTTTGAAATAAAACCCTAGCTTCCCGGGAGTTCCTATAGGTTTTACGAGGTCTAGGATACACGTCCTGTAAGTTTGGTCCGAAACGGACGGTTAGACCGCTCACGATCGCACAATTGGACGGTTACTGAAACCCTCACCCTAGGGTTGGCATTTCCGGAAAATTCGGAATTCCGTTTTACGATCCGTCGAATCCAACACGATCCTAAAGGTATCTAGAGTAACATACTTCAATTTGAAAACGATCCAACGGTTAGAACATATCGAACCCGAATAACACACAATATGCGATAATCCGTTCGATAGTCAAACGACCTCGGAAGCGAGAGCTGCGAAATCCTACGCGCTCGTGACAACTTAAAGATCACATGGGAACAGTTTGCAGCTCCACCACACTTGCCCACGCGCCGCCACACGCGCCGGCAGCAAGCGGGTGTGCAGAGAAATTCCGGCGACGGAAAATCTCCAAATCACATGTCACCCTCCCGGCTATAGGTCCTACTCAACTAGGGGAGCACTTCATTCAACTATGGCCAAGCCCAAAACTACCGGGAACTGGCCGGAATTTCGAATTGAAAACCGGCCAAAAACCTAATTCAAAAATAACTTCCAAAACCTCAAAATCGTTTCAATCCTAAGCAACAGGCAGCTAGAACAGATAAAAAGAAGGAGAATTCTCACCTTTAACACCGGAAAAGGACGACTGAAGCGGTGGTGTAACGATCGGAAAACCTCCGATTCGAACCAGTCGCAACTGTCGGCGGTTCGCGAGCTTTACGGTCGGGATTTTGGGTGGGTCAGGTCCGGGACTTCACTACGAGTCGAACGGAATCGGTCTCGAGGGCTGGGGTGGCCGGAAGTGATGGCGGCGTGGAGAATTCTGTTCGGGTGAACAGTGACGAGAGAGAGGGTTCGCGGGAGAGAGAGAGAGAGAAAAGTGAAATGAAATTGAAGTTTCTGAATTTTACAAATACCCTTTTCGAATTATTTACAATTGTGCCACCGAAAGAAATTTCATCGCCAACAATTCGTTAAAACTCCGATTCAAGCCTACCGCCTGTCTACGAATTCATCTCAGAACCACCTATGCAACTAAA